TCAGTAAGTTAACCAACAATAGGGAATTTTAAAATAATTATCCTGATATTTCTTCAAAAAGAGATTTATTAGTTCCCTTACGCTGGATGCTGTAGGTCTTATAACTAATTATCGACGAAGATAATATACAACCCTGTTACTGAAAATTTGCGTGTCTTTAAACAGGTTACGATTTCGATTCAGACAAAAACTGATATACTTTTTTGAATCAGCAGATGTCAACTTTACTACACTATGTGTGTCAACTGATGAATACAAACCCTATTTATTCGAAGTTACTACTGTTTGTCAACATATTTCAAAAGCAAGCAGCATCTGAAGAGTGATAGCTGAAGGGTTAGGTCTAATCACAGAAAAATAAATCAAGCAGATAGATGTCATAACGTGAAAGGCGTTCAAAATGCAGTGATTCAAGTTGTCAAACTTCGAACTTCACCAAATGTAAAAATCTTCAATACTAGAAAATGATTTCAGTAAACATGAGAAAGGATGTTAGTGAAAAGAAATAATGAGTGTAAGATATTAAGACGCTCAACGACTTGGATAAGATAGTGAGGTGACTGTATATGTCAGTGTCATTGATTCTGGGTGATGTCACGCACAACCTATTCGGGTTCGATCATGTCATAACTGCGATAAAGTGTTATGTTCTTATCATGTGACTTATACTGTTTACTGCAAAATATATCTTTGACGCTGTCATGCTACTATGATTTGCTGTGCGCCTCACTTATCATTTATGCATTCCCCATGTTCGAGTGGAGGACTGGGCTGAACACAAGATGAGATATTCGCAACCGTTTAGTAGGTAACGCGTTTAATAGAATAAATGATATTTTCACAAATGTTCTGCCTGCAAAATAAAGTAAATAAGCCACAGTGGACTCTTGACTGATTTTTTTTCAAAACGGTGACAAGAAATAATAACTAATTGCATTAGTGTGATTACTTTGTAGACTGTTATACGTTAGGAACAATTAGTTACACAGGAGAATTAAATGATAGTACTCATGCAACTGAAGCAATAATATATGTGGAGGACGATTACATTTCCACTTCTGGACGAATAAAATCTCTCTGAACTGGAAAGCAGTTTGATTAGTGAGAAAGTGAAAATGATATGTTACTGGACAGAATGACCAACGACACCCACCTACGTCAACATTGAGAACACACATTCCATGTCCGGTTTTGATAGATTCACTATCCAATTCAGAATTCCAGGCTAATAATCTTGTGGAGGCAACGAACCAGCTACTAGAGCAACCAGAAGTTTTGAACGAATCATTTACAAAGTCTTTCATAGATTTAAGTATCAAATCGGATGATTCTGAGCTACCGAAATCTCATCAAAAAGCAATAATCATCCGTAATCTGGAGGAAAGTGAAATGAGATTGCCTAATCAGCCTCAAAAATGAAAGGCAATTACCCATGAGGAACATGAATCTCAAACAGGCATGCACCGTACAAATTTCAAATCGTATTTTCGATCACAACAGAAATGTAACAAGTTGAATCTGAATCTGTGCACATTATTGTAGAGTGTGTATTGAACCATTTAACAGCAACAACTGGTCCAAAAGTACAAACATTTGAAATTAATCATAACTTTAATTTACCTACTGGAAAGTTAACCCATACACAAAATGATGTTTGCAGAGCAGACACCAATTATCAGGAATATGGAAATGAATATAATTGAATCTATTATCTTACCAATAAGTTGCATAAAAAAGAAAGAAATACTTGGTAAAAACAGTGAAAAACAGCTGTAAAAATCTAATAAGACAAGCATTTTTAGAGGTAGTATTCATCATGGACTGACATCAGTTAGGGAACCATTGAAAATCCGGGAGCATTGGACACTCTACAGTAATGCATTTTTGAGATGAGATGAATCTAGAGGTAGCATTCATCACGGACTGATATCATTTGGGGAAAAATTCAGAAGCATTGGACAGCTGTTTCGTCCTGGGTCGTGGGTGCGTATTGCTGAGGAGTCCCATACTAGGACGAAACAGCTGTCCAGTACTCCTAGATTTTTAATAGGTCCCAAACTGATTTCAGTCCATGATGTATACTACCTCTAAATTGAAAATCCCCATTCATCTCAAAAGTCTATTACAAGCATTTTTGTTAATTGATAGATATGTTACAAAATACATATTCAGTTTCTGATAATTAAACAAGCGAAAATTAACAAAAGTAAACAATCTCATGATATATTTGAATTTACGCAACTTACTACCAACACTTTTACCAGTAGTATAGTCCCCTACTTTGTGAACAAAATGACGGGTTAACGTTATATATCACCGAAATATGATTCAACAGCTAAAAACAGCGAGCAACACTCTATCCGAACATTCGAGTTAAAAGTTGAAACAATGAACGAGATGCATTCTAATACTTCCGGAAACCGTCAAACATCGATTCCACTCTGACTATTACTTGTACCTTAGGTTCCTAGTGGAACATCGTGATCATTACCAGTACCAACATAGGACCAGGCATTACTGCGTAACGGTCCGAATTGCCACAGCTCATATCAGTACATCAAGCAGAAAGGTAGTGAGATGAAGATGAAGTGGAAAATAGGGCTTCACTAGTACACCACCATTTCACTCTCTTCTCTCCAGTCTTCAAACCTGGCTCCACCAATGTCCACAAGCTTTCATTTCTTCTTCACTCCACCTCCTTCCTCCATGTCACACTCAGATGGGATACCCAACTCGTCGTCTCCCATGCGGGTTCCACTCAAATACCTGGCCTGATGCATGTTGTCCCCAAACGGTCTTCGCAGTGTATGCTCGATCCAATCCATCTCCACTTTCTTCTGCATATTTGTTGGACGATGGCTTGTTGGTTGGTTCCTTGCCAGCCAGCCAGCCAGCCAGCCAGCCAGCCAGCCAGCCAGCCAGCCAGCCAGCCAGCCAGAATTCCGTCTTGCTTATTCTTGTCATTCTCGCCATCTGATCATCTTCAGTGTCAGTATCGAGTGAGCGTAGGCGACATCTGTTCATGTGATTGATGTATGTCTGCAGTCTGTTGGAAATGCTTTTCACAACATACCAAGTCTCTCAACCACCACATAGAAGCACTGACTGACTGACTGACTTGACTGAATTAGTGTTGAAAATCCGGATCTTGTTCACGCTTTATGATGAGTGCAGTACAGTGCAATGGAGTGCAATGCAGTGCAGTGCAGTGCAGTGCAGTGCAGTGCAGTGCAGTGCAGTGCAGTGCAGTGCAGTGCAGTGCAGTGCAGTGCAGTGCAGTGCAGTGCAGTGCAGTGCAGTGCAGTGCAGTGGAGTAGATCTCCACACTGATTTCAGGTTAGTGAAGGCTTGTCTTGCTGTCTTTCCGATCCTGGCTTCGACATCCTCATCTGTGCCTGTGCCGCACTTAGGTGAATCGATGCTGCCCTGCCTGGTGTGTAGATGAAAGAGACTACTTCCTTTAGATTTCTCCTCTTCATGGTGATTGGTGCTTGTCGTTGTCATTGTTGTGGCTGGTTGTGTATCCCCATCACCTCTGTTTTCTCTACGTTCACCTGAAGGAAGTCCCATCTTCGCTGCCTCTACTATCAACCTGTTAGTTTTCGTCTGTAGATCTTCGAGTTTGAGCAACAAGACATTCGACAGAAGTCATCATCATCATCATCATCATCATTGGCCAAATCCCAATGTCCTAGTGTTTTTTCATCTGTCCGGCCAGCGTGTGCCCATCTTCTCGCTCCTCACAGTTTGTTGCATGGTCTGATCCAGTCGACCACAATCAGGAAGATCATGGGTGATAGTAGGCAGCAGCTTTGTCTTACTCCTGTATTCACTTCAAAGGCATCACTGAGCATTCCATTGTGACTCACTTGGCACATGGCATCATATGGCATAGCATATAGCTGTTGAATGAGGTTGATGAAGGTTTGTGGTACTCCATAGTGTTGAAGCAGTTGCCAAATTTCTTCTCGGTCGTCGCTAACGAAGGTGTTTTGAAGGTTGGAAATAATTTCTTTCGAATTCTTTATACTCTATTTGATCGCATGGTATGTCACTATTCTGTTTGATATGTTAAGATAAGTATAATTCCTTCTGATTCAATCACGAACATTTCTTCTTTGCTATGAAATAAATGCATGAAATCAATACAAATTTTCCATGAGTAAATTAGAATTACTCATTTAAACCTTATTATGTTACAATATAGGATAATTTCAGTGTTATATTTCGTAATCAGTTGAAACTTAGGCCAACCAAATTTGTTTCACTTGTAGCCTCTACTTTCATGCTTATGTTTATGTATTCCATGCACAGTTGTTTCAAATTTCATCATCCAGTAGTTTTAAGAACATATATCCCTCTAGAATTGAGGTGATTTAAAAATTAGTCTGAAGCTAATTAGCGAACAGATGTTTCTTTTTACTCATGCACAGATTTTAATATTTCTGAAGTATACTTACTGTATACGCGAACACTAAATCAATAAGCCTTATTATTCTTGTTGTCTACCGATAAAGTTTTGAATTCTGAGTAATCGATAGAGGAACAACGTAAGTAACAATTTATCATACTAGTTTATAACGTGTGATGGATAAAATTTACGTGTTATTTGTAAATCTATCAGTAATTTTCATTTCTTACAACTACAGAATTTATATTCAATTCATTTCAAAAGAAATGTCTTCACTGTATCCAAATATTTGAAAAACCATCAAGATTTATCTGGTTAGGCAATAGAAAAGTTGGAATCTGCTAACATTTACTGTTATTAATTAAGTTACCTAAATTCAAATTATGAGATGTTTAGAAATGTTGATATTATTCAGTATAAAAAAGTGAAGGAAAACATTGAAAATCTACAACAACTAACGTCATCTCTTACTGATAATACTAATAATTTAACTAAAAAACAATTTAAAAATACACTAACTAATCAACTTCAATTATGTAAAAAAGATGTTTATAGAAACAGTTCAAATTCAGTAAACGCTTATTATAAACTTGAATCAAATGAATTAAAAAAATTGATGAATTTATTGAACGTCTATGGAGAATTAGTGAGAAAGGTTGTAAATCACGTATGCTAACTGAAGAAGAAATGATACTTATATGTCATCAATGTAAACCATTGTTTTTAGAACAATCATCATTACTAACACTATGTGGTCCGCTAAAAATATGCGGTGATATACATGGACAATACTTTGATTTATTACATTTATTTGAATTATGCGGTAAACCAGAAAATATTAATTATTTATTTTTAGGTGATTACGTAGATCGTGGTCGACATAGCTTAGAAACAATTTCTTTATTATTATGCTATAAGTTAAAATATCCGCTAAGATTTTTCTTATTACGTGGTAATCATGAAAGTCAATCTATTACAAAAATCTATGGTTTTTTTGATGAGTGTAAACGTAGATTTTCAATAAAATTATGGAGAATATTTATTGATACATTTAATTGTTTACCATTATGTGCTATTATTGAAAATCAAATATTTTGTTGTCATGGTGGTCTATCACCAGAACTGCTAACACCAGATTTATGTGATTTAAATGATTTGAAAGCAAAGATACGAAGTATAAAATGTCCATGTGATATACCAGATTCTGGTTTAATATGTGATTTATTATGGTCTGATCCATGGTATATAGATAGACTATTAAACGATAAAAATGGTATAGAACCAAATGGTTGGGAACCGAATGAACGTGGTGTATCATATATGTTTGGTGCAGATATAATTAATCAATTTTTAGAAAGATTCAATTTAGATCTTATTGTACGCGCACATCAGGTTGTTGAAGATGGTTATGAATTTTATGCAAATAGATTATTAGTCACAATTTTTTCAGCACCAAATTATTGTGGTGAATTTGATAATGCTGCAGCTGTATTCTGTTTAAATAAAATAACGAATCAAATTGACAATTTACAACCAACATTTTGTAATTTAATTAATGATGACACTGATCAGTCACTATATAAAGAAGCTGATTTAGAAGGTAGTTTCCAAATTATACGATCTGTGTTGTCAAATAAGAAGTAGAGATATATAACCATATATATATATATATATATATATATATATATATATATATATATATATATATATATATATATATATATATATATATATAAACTAAAACAATGAAAATGAGACACCATTTTAAAACAAGCTTTTATCAACATCGATATCATCATCACCAACTATGGACATATGAACTTTGGGTCTTTATTTAAAAGTAGAGTCATCGGTCAGTAATAATAATAATAATTTAGGACAAGAAGGAGAAGTGATTGAAATTCTTCTTCTGGTTATGTACAATAACAAATAACTTTATTGATGGTAATTTCTTTACGCTTTTTAATTTTATTTATAAATGAGTTAATAACTAACTGTTAACTGGTTCATGTATCATGAAGTTATTGAAAGGAAGTAAACGCATTACTATCTGTAATGTTATATACTATCATAAAATATCACCAGTATATTATTTGCATATTTGTAATTGGCTATCTCAATGGGAATGGTCTTTAAAGTCATGATGAAAGGAGTAGAAACAGATTAGTATATATGCTCAAAAAAAGCATATCATTTTGAGTTTCTATGCTATCTAACATTGCACAAAGTATAAATCAACAGCAACCAAAAATAAAACGTTACAAACATGCTTTAAATCAAGAATATGAGATTTGTCTAAATCAGGTTTCCTGAGTATAAATTCATGGTAAAAATTAGCAAAATGGCAAATGTCGAAAGCTTAGTTAGTAAAGTTCATTTTTAGTTCACCATAGTTAACTAGAACACATAAACCGATGCACTGATTAGTACAGGTGGTGGAAGACAGACAAGCTTTTAAGAATTATTAAGTGAAACATGTGCAACAAATTAAGAGGTAGGCAATAAAGTCAAAGCAGAAGAGAAACCAGCAGATTGAAAAACAGTGAAGTCCTAATAGTTGGCAAAACTATCTGGCAAAAAAGTGCTAATTATTGATAATAAATAGCAAAACTTGGAAGCAGAGTAAAAAAAAAGTAGAAATTTGATCACAAAATGAAGAGCAGATGAGTTAAAACACAAAGTAGTGTTACAGAATGAAACGAAGAATGTGTATGGAATTCTAGAAAAGCATAAATATAGCCCAAGTTTTAAACTATTGCCATTGATTTAGGTCAAATGAGGTGACATTTCAGAAAGCCTACATTGTCATAAGGTAGTTAATAAAGTAATCAATAAGTGCCATTTAAAGCATCCTAAGGTATACACCACGCATTTATCTCTCAATGAAAATCATATGCTTAGCAAGCTTAACGTACTACGTCTGGCAATCAGCTCAATAGATGGAAGTTCAAGTTGTCCATCAACTGAACTTATCATCAGATATAGACACATGCGCTACGAATACTTTTTTCTATTTCATACGTTCGTGTTACAAAGCTATAAAATGAAAAAGAGTGTACTGTGCTGCAGTCTGCTCTCTTCTACTCTATGGGTGTAAAACATAGTCATTAAAGGTAGAAGACATGAGAAGGCTTCAGGTATTTGACCATCGTTGTCTTCGTAGCATAGGCCGGTTTTTCGTGGTGTCGTCACATGAGTAACGCAGAAGTCAAGAGTAGAGTTTTGGGCAGGAGAGGTACAACAGTTGATGCGATTGGGAACTTCATCTACTGAGATGACTGAGACATGTGTTACGCATGCCTAACCACCGTCTACCTCGTCACAAATTGTTGGTGAAAGTAGGTTCAAGTTGGAAAAAAGCTCGAGGCTACCAGAATAAAACATGGCAACAACGAATGAAGTCCTTGACTGTTCGTTTGAGCCATGCAGGGTGATCCAGATTAGCTAGTTGGGATCCGCTGGACAAGAAAAACCAGTGGTTGGAGACTTTAGCTGATATGGCTCAGAACCTATGTCAGTGGCGTAGATGCATACACACATTATCCTCATCTTGACCACTATACTTAATTTCATTACCTCATTCTTCCTTCCTCTCTGGTACTATTTTCTACTACTACTTTTACTTTCTTTGACCGATTTTTCTTTCCTTCTTCATCTTCCATTTTATTGCTTTGTTACTTGATGTGATTATATGAGTTGTGGCAACTTGGACCTAGTCCTATGTTGATCACGATGATTGACATGCCTTATGGTAAATTTCGCGTTCAATTGTAACGGGTGTTTTATTGATGCCTGTTCCTTAATCACTATTAAGAAAGTCAAATTCAAGCTACTGCAGGACAGATTGAGCGGTGATTTGAAAATGTTCAGGATGCCCTCTTCACCACCCAAGTATAAATTGTTGCTCCAAAAATGGTGTGCATTGGTGCATCTAACAATAGACAGTGAAGGCATTGAGCCATTTACCTATTACCTCAGTGACTGACGAAATCTCTGCACCCAAACAAAAGAGCAGATTAACTTCTGCAAGCCTCCCCCACACATACACTTATCATTACCAAAACGTCCGATTACCTATGAAGTCTCAAGTGTACTGCACAGTAGTTCTCTGTCCCACTACATGACTGTAAATCATGAGCAGCAGTAATGTAGAAAATGAAACGGCTTCAGGTGTTTCATCACCGTTGCCTTCTTAGCATGGGTCATGCTTTGCATAACCATCACGTCAGTCAGTAATGTAGAAGGCATATAGTTGTCGGTAAAAGTGACAAGTCAGTTGCTGTAATTGTATATCTCAAACGACTGACATGGTTAAATAATTTCTTATAAATGCCTGGTCACCACCTGTTTTGTCGTGCGATGTTAGCTGACCGGGCTGCTTGCTGACGAAATCGCAACTCGGATGCAGAAGGCGTTTGACATTTTCCAACTTGCGTCATCTGTGGTGTCGACTGGAGATATCCGACTACCTATTAAACGGGTATGCTGTGCTGCAGTCCACTTCGGCCTGTTATATGGGTGTGAGAAATGGTAGTTAAAAGTAGGAAACATGGGACGATGGCTGGGTTTTGATCAAAGATTTCTTCGCAGCATCACATTACTTGCATCTGGCGGAATCACCGTGTGAGCAATGTAAAGGTCAGGCAAAGGGTACCAGGCAGGACAGGTAAGTCGATTGTGAACCTTCATCACCCGAAGTGACTTGGACATGTGCTGAGCATGAAGAGTCACTGCCTACCTCGACGTGCCATGCTATGGGAAGTTGGATTAGGTTAAAAGACGATTCAGGTTAACCAGACCAAGAAGTGGCACCAGTCCCTTAAGTCTGTGACTGTTAGTCTGAGTCGTATTGGGATATGTAGACTGCCTAGGAGGGGTTCACGAGATGATAGGAACTAGTGGTTGAGAACTCTTGGTGACATGGCTGGAAGTCAGTTACAACAGCACAGACGTATTAGCTCTTTGGCATCTTCTAAAGCTTGAATTCCGCAAAAACCGTTATCTCCAAACCGTTTATTCTCTCACACAACTTTATTTGCTTTGATATCACTTTTTCTTTCCACCTGTTCTTTTTGTACGAGTGTTAATTGTGACACATTGAACCGATCGACTTCTGTACATTGATTTTTTCTGTCTGTCTGCTATGACTAACATCGTATGTCGAGATAGACAGTAGCTTGGGTTGCGGAACGTGCACGTACAAGTGAACAGGAATGAACTTATGTAACGGGGTCTTTTATTTTTTCAAGGACATGAACGAATAGGAGTAATTCTATGAGTAAATATATTGATCAAAAGGTACACACATGCTACAAAATTGTGCTTAATCCACTCAAAAATATAGAAAATAAAAAGTAAATAACACAAAATGTACACAGGACACTACTGCCCAAACGATTAAACATGATTTCATCAAGAAGAAATGTCCTTTATACACCAGCATTAGTAGCACGATATATATTTTACTACAGGAACTGCATTTAAATGAAGTTCGATAATCAGTAAGAAAGTAAAGAGAATGTAAAGCCACTCATATATACTTAAAACTGACGTAATGCATGTTTTATACCTTTAAAAAACTGGTATTTTCCTTATCCTCAACAAATTTAGTTTGTTTCGGTAATTTAAAAAAGAAATAAGTAAAACTAGAGAGAAAGAGATGAAAAGCAATTTGTCAAAACAATTTTCTTTCATTACAAAAGAAAAAAAAATATTATCATCATCATCATATTATCCCATAGCAGTAATGCTAATGTATACACTTCAAAAAATAATACTATCACCGCAACAAGAAAAATTTTGACCTAAAAAAATTGTGTGTCTTGACTGAAACTACCAGCCATTAACAAATGAGTATAATTCGATTGTTGTTTATCACACTGTAATTCAATAAACAATCGATGTGGACCTATTCGACTAGTCAAAGGATTTGGACACGCTAATTCAGTATAAAAGGTATACATTTCAAAATCGGGACGTCTTAGATCAACTGGACGAATCGGTGATATCCATGTTTGTGCAATACTCGAGAAATTGAACTGTCCTGTGTCAGTTCCAACTATTTCAGTCTATAGAAATGAAAAAAAGAGAATAAATTACCAAAAATGAATAAACGTTTTCACATGGTACACGTGGTGATTAGCAGTGCTGGTGTAGGTGATATATGATTGCCTTAAAGCTACGAAGATGCAAACGACTGATAAAACGACATTAGCTATTCAGCTTTTACATATATCTAGATACATCGAATATACATGAAGAACCCTTTATTCTCTGCTAAAGCCATATATTTCAACGTTGAGGTATGACAATAGTCAGTCTTAAAAACATAAGTTGTAGAAGGGTTGAGTAGGGAAAAGCTAAAGATAAGCAGGTGAGAAAGTGACACCAGTTTATGAAGTCTTTGACCGTTAGTCTGAACCCCACATGAGAATGTCGGCCTACTAGTTGGGGTCGGTAGGACAAGCGATATTTGTAGAATATAGGCATATAATTTTGAATCCATAGCAGTAGTGCACATACATTCATACTTTCCGAATGCACATACCTGAATGATGATGTCTTTAATCAATACCATATGGAGGGATCGTATCTCCAATATTCACAGAACACTATGTGACAATGTGCTATAGGAGTTGAGACATAATAAGACCTCAGATCTGTTCAGAAATGTAAAAGCTGCATTGCAGATCCATGAGAAAAACACAAAATGTGCCTAAAAATATTCACAGGTAACTACAATGTCTCGAAGACTCCAGTTTTCTAATTGGGGCGTGAAACAGTTATTTTCTCATCAACCGACCTTCAAAATCTACAACTAACTATGAGTATTCATCCGGATAGTTATGGAAGACCAAGATAAACAGGATACATGAAACAGTACTTTGATTGTACAGGTAAATCTGACATTTAAAACGAATGGCGTGCAAACCTACTTTGGTTACCAGCTATCAGTACTACTGGCTGGACGCAGGAGGGGGACAGCAGTAAGATGTTGCTCGTGCATGACCAGTAGTGCCATGTCGATGCTACTTTTCTTATGGAAAAAAGGATTAGAGAATGGCACAGTCTACTCTACCCCGCGGAATACTGGTATAAACGATAAGGGTTCAAAGTCAGAATTGAAAACAAAAAGCTTTAATCTAGAATTTTTAAAAATATCAAGTGTGACCGACCCAAAATAGATGTTCCTTTGGATCTGCAGTCACGTACTAACCCTTCTTTTTAGATATCTCGACGGCTACTCCTGTCTACTGCAAAAAAACAAACTCTCAAAAGTGTTTTAAAAGGGCTAGTGGGTTTAAGCAGATCCTTCTGAATTGATAGATACAAGCGAATGTAGCTCTGCAACCTCTGGGTACAATGAGGGACGGAAGCAACCCAAATGTAGACAGACAAAAGGCCTACGCAATGACCATGAACAGTGGTGGACAGCCAAGATGAAAAAGATGAAAAACGCACCGACGACAGGTAATAGCAGACATATATTTAGACTTATTACGGATTATGGAGCAAAAGATCTGGAAGAAGTCCGAAACAAAAACATCTCAAGCATAGTAAAGTCATAGACCCATCTTTCTATTATTATTTCAAACCAAGAGTGAGATAAGGGAGGATTAGTGGGTTTCACCATTCGTGAAATTTTTAACGATGGATTTTTAACACAACATTGAAGAAGGATTGTGGTAACTATAACTGTGTATACCCACAACTAGAAGAAAGATTATTCAACTTTAGTACACAGAAGATATTTTTACTATGTGTTTTATCAGTTGGTGAGTATTGTTTTTAGGCATCATATGTACTTTGTTAGTGAATAGCCAAAAGAATTTGGGACGTTTATACACTAGAATAGTTGTGGCAGAAAACAGGTGGTATATCAGAAATCTTATATACAGTTCAGAAAATAATAACAACAACAAACTGAATAATAAATCAGATCGTTACTTACTGGTGCACTTTTGTCAAAAAGGCGTTTTAAAAATGTTAAAATCATATTGCGCTCATTTTCTCCAACATTAGCAGCAGTAGCAGTGGAAGCAGATGCATTACTGGTAGGTAGATCAATCCAACCACCTAGACTAGATGTCCATGATTTTGATTCACCAGTAAAATCTTGTAATAAATTTACATGCTCAGATAATTGGCACAAGAAGTTTAAAAATATGTCTGACTGCAACATATAACTACAGTCTATCAAAAAAGATGTAATGAATAAACCAGAAATGAGAATGCAGCTTGAAAAAAATGGTTCACTACTAATATTATTATTATGTTATGAAGTAACATACTTGATTGAGTGGAACGCTGGTTGAATGTTAAGTGGGAAGTGACACAGTATGATGTGTCATGATGATACAGTTATATTCACATGACGAGAAAAATTGATTCACTCCACTAGAGTTATGACTAACTTAAAAACACAGCCGAGCAACGACCAAGATAACCCAGCAACTAAGTAATGAGACACAATGTGTGAGGGTGTATGATACTACCCACCTGCCCACACCAAAGTAGGCGTAAAGCAGTTGGAACCTATGAATGAGTGTCGGAAAGTCAACTGCCAAGATCGATGAGCTACAGATCTACGACAATAAAGGAAACTGACAAATTAATCATAGTCTACTCGTATCCCATGTCGTTCACCGAAGTGAAACTGCTACTTATGTTAGGATAAATGATACTCCAAATGACATGAATAATTGCTCTAAAATATGACCAAGGATCTTTCTTTCTGTTCTTTGATTATGCGTTTGTTACAAATATGCGAATTAGATGTAATTGGGGGTAACATTATTGATCGTCTTAGCTAGTAGTTCGTTTGATAAAATGGACTAAGCTGCGTAGCTGCATACGTTCTATTCTGTGAGACATGTGATCAGCAACTGATTATTCCGGTAGTTTAAAGTAACTAACGTAAGGAGATGAGATCAAATTTACTGTATTTTGGCGAAGTAACGTGAATAAATGTCATATAATTAGTAAAGTCACTAGGTGATTAGTCCTACCATTAATTAAATAAGATTGCCTTCCTGTCATGTACGATATTCATTTGATGCTGTTACATGGAGGGTGAAAGTAATCTTTAGAGCATTTCATCTTATATGGGATATAGTAATTTAATGTAGTAGTGAAAGCAATAACGACAGCTCATTGTAAAAGAGATGCGCTTTTATTAGTAATGATTGGATTTTTAAAACGACAACTGTTGCATTCTAGTCTGAATACAAAAACCGGAGAAGTATAGATACCTTCATCTGATACTTCCTGAAGAGCGAAGTACGGATATCACGAAAAACAAGGCTAAGAACAACAAAGAGATAAGCTAAAGTAAATCTCAGTACTGTCCAGGAGTTCATACAAGAAGAGTACATGAACATAGATGCCAGAGAGACAGGTAGAAATGCCAAATTCGCATATATCGTGTCTAATTATACATACCACACGTCCCAACAATAAATTCGAAGAATATTTACCTTATAAATATGGTAAACTAATCTACGTAGTACAGTTGACGTGTGTGTATTGTGAAGAATGACAAGGTGATATCAGCAGCAGTGAAACATGCCATGAAAGCGATAAATCAAACTTGAAACGAATAAAGTAGACTTAAAATACAATAACCCATACTGAACAAAAGCCAAATGTTTAGTTAACAATCCATCTATTAATAAGATTCACATAATTTGTCTCTGGAACTAACTATTCTATATTAATCTGCAATCTTTTCCCACTTAAATTACTGAAAATACCCATTAAGACATTACAGAAAACGGGAAGTTCAACGAAGATATCTTTTTTGGCGATTTCATCCTCCATAGCTGAAAAATCATGATTTCCAATGATGACTGTGATTAAAACTATGCTTTACAGTTATTTAACAGCTGCAACCCCTAAATTAAATTCACGCTTGAAGTAGAAAGCGAATCAAATATTCCGTTTTAGAATGAAGAACTCACTACACGAGATAATGGGACACCGAGTAGGTCTTTCTACAGGAAACCTGTTTGGAATAGTCAGGCGATGAATTTCTACAGTTGGGTACCTATAAGTCGAAGAAGAACACTTATCGTGTTCCTTGTTTAGAGTATTCGAGGGATCTGTAGCACTGCTGGTTTAGAAGAACTCACGCTCCTCAAAAGGGTTTCGGCTGAAAACAGATTTTAGCACGATTTACGAAAAAAAACATGAATCCCAAACCACAAAGAGAGACACCCCTTTCAGTTCCAGAGCAGACATTATACATGAATCTTGACTCCAAAGGTAACCTCACTGCTGATATCTCGAAAAAAAAAAGAATTTCAAACTCGCTAAAGAAAACTTTCTTCGCGTCAACGTTGAGGAGGTAATTCACCAGTCGTCCAATGCTTCCTGATTGTCCAAAGGATACGCTTCTGTATCTCACTACTTCCATGTGTGCTTATTAATTCACCTGCTCCTGTGGAGCCAGGTATTTAGATTGTTTGATGTGCATTCTTTCCAAACGCGTTAGAGAACATTACCACACCCAGTAGCAAAGACGTGAGAGTGGATCCATCAGAAGTGCAGTAATTGAACATCTTGTCATCAATGGTCACAGTGTTCAAAGTCACCTACAGAGTGAAAAAAAATTTGCCTAAAATGGTGTGCTTTCTTCTTCTCTACACTGCAGAAGCTCTTGCTATATGCATGGAGAAATCGGAATTATGTGCACAAAAGAAACTTTTATAACCTTTGTTCCTGCCTTAAATTTAATAAAATTCCTAATAATACATCGACCTCTCTGGTATGATTCACAATTTTGTTATATTTTATGATATATTTTAATAATTCAGTATTGTCTTCATTTTGTTTTCATGCTACCCTTGATCATGCTTTATCTTGAAAATTATTTTTATATATTAGGGCTAATTTTCACCTTGCATCACACTTGTGAATCTTTAATCATTCGACTTGATCTTCGTTAAGGGATTTAATGAAATAATTCTTGTAACTATCCAATAAAGTTAAATAAAATGCATAAATTGCGATTGTACAGCTATGGAGAATGAAACCATGATAAAGATATCTTCGCTGAACTTCTCATTTTCTCGAATTTCCCCATTTAGACTTATTGTTCTTTGCAGTCAATATAACTGATATGCTTACTGAATAAAACAACTTAGAACTTCTGAGTCTATCAAGAACCTATCACATCAATTTCGTAGCACAGTGTGGTTGTTTTGAGTTAAACGTTCTCAACACAAAAGAATTTAAGCAAGTATGAGCAATCCAATGAAGTATTTACCACCAACTTCTTTCTAATGCAAACATAACTCGTGAATCATGGACAATGGATTCACTCCATCCACAATGAAATGAACAGAACTAAAGTCCGCGCATAACTACCTCAAGGTTTAAATTCGTTTAAAAACGATGAAACATTCATAATGCGTCATCAGCAATACGGTTGGTAAGCATAACTTAACGATGAGGCTTGTTACCAGACTATCATCTTTTGTGTACAAGGAAGATAACTAAAGTTAGAAAAACGCCTGAAGAGTATCAAAATTCAAATAAGCAACTTGTGGATTACGGACACACAGCCCATTATCCCCAAGTATACAGAACTGACATGATTTCAGATAGTCTGTCTAACGATAAATCAGCTGTTTTCCCTATATAATTCAGCTTCATTGAAAACAGGAGGATATCTTTCACGGTATTCGATGTGATGACGTACGAAGAGTTAGTTACCTAACATTGACGTAACAACTGGATAAAACACTAGATGATTCGATGATAAGTAGTTGGTTCTCTTAGGTTGGAAGACGGTGAATGGAATTTCCGTATAATCAATGTTTTTCTGCCAGTTCAAACATAATCTTTGTAAACTTTTCTGGTTCCCTGTTAACTTACCAGACATAACAACATTACAGATTAATTCATTTAGACATGTCAATTCAATGGAGAATTGGGCAATCAATTGGAGTACTTCACGGAATGTTTGGAGTGGAAACTAAAATGGGAATAAACAGGAAAAAATAAGGAAAACTCACTTGATATTTCTTCTTACAATATCAAGTAACATTGCTGGTAACCAGAATTCTCGGTAAGATTTTTTGTTTTAGATGGAACCCACCAGTCAATATTAACTAGACTAATTTTAGGGCGTTATTTAATCGGATGAAAATAGACAATGATGATGTGAATCCCTAGTGGACAATATGTTCTATGGGTTTATTACTAACTCAAGGCTATTCGGTTCCATCAGTGTCGATTTCAAAAGGGGAGCTGTTGACTGAATGTATTGGTTAACAATTTCGCGATAATTTTGACTTAAAAAGTTTAGAAAACAAACAATATGAGCTAAGAAATAATTCATTAATAGCTCTGCACTAATATTTAGTAGGAATTTCCTCTGAACCTACAGACCCCACTTGTTCAGGTAGAGTTTGATGCATTGATCCTGAACAAACCTAGTTTGTGTTCAGAAGAAATTTGTACAGTCTCTTTCTTTGCCTTGACCACCCAAATATATGTGAAAACATCAATTTTCCCTTCATTCATCCCACAAACGATTACAATTATCAGTATAGTTTTAGCCATACCGATGAACAACTTGTGGATTGTGGAATAAATAAATGCATTATATTATTATACTATTATTTGTATCTTGTGTTCCCAGTGGAACATAGGGCTTCAGTAGCACGTCTCCATTCCACTCTATTCTCTGCTCTCTCTCTCTCTCTCTCTCTCTCTCTCTCTCCGCTCCACGACTGCCCACAGGCTCTCATTTCTTCCTCACACCATCTCCTCTATGTCACCCTCACCTCGGACGCCCAACTCGCCGTTTCCCATCCGGGTTCTACTCGAGTACCTGGCCTGGCAAGTGATGTCCACAAACCGTCTCCTCAGACGATACCCAATCCATCTCCACTTCCTTCCACTGCACACTGGTTCAGCGATAGCTTCTTGGTTGGTTCGTCTCCACACCAGAGTTCCTTGTTGCTTATTCTTTCTCGACATCTGAGTTTCAGTAACGAGTGTAGGCAGCTGTTGATGAATGTCTGTAGTTTGTTGGAAACCCCTTTCGTAACGCACCAAGTCTCTCAACCATATAGCAGCAATGACTTGACGTTGAAGTTGAAAATCCTGATCTTGTTCCACATGCTGAGTGCAGATCCTCACACTGGTTTCAGGTTAATGAAGGCCTGTCTTGCTTTTCTGATCCTCGCTTTGACGTCCTCATCTGTGCCGCCTGTAGTTGAAACAGTGCTTCCTAGATAGGTGAAAGAGACCACTTCCTTTAAGTTTCGTCCGTTCATAGCGATTGGAGCTTGTTGGTTGGGTCTCTTCATCACCTTCGTCTTCTCTACGTTGACTTAAAGTCCCATCTTCGCTGCCTCTTCTGTCAACTTGTTAGTTTTCTCCTGTAGATATTCAAGTTTGTATGACATTAGGCACAAGTCATCGGCGAAATCCAAATTTCTAGGATCTTTTACCCGGTCCAGCGTATATCCCTCGTCTTGCTCCTCACAGTTTGTTGCACCACCACAATCAAGAATATCGTAAGTGATAGTAGACAGCCTTGTTTTACTCCTGTTTACAAACATGATAAGTTTTTATTTTGGTAATCTTTCGAGCAAAATTACTGCCCATGATCACATCAATAGTTGGAATTTTGTGTTGTATAAATATTAAAAATCCTAACTGTTGGTGCAATTCACTGGCAGTAATTTTGCTCAAAATATTATCAAAATAAAAACTTATCATTGTGTGTAGACTTTTCATTAAAAGTTTTAGCCATCTTGTTCTTCCCCCTGTTGTCTTTAACTGACATCAACAATTGACCACGTGACACAGTAATTCATTTTCTCTTCTCTTCTTGTTAGTTACCATTATATAAACTGTCCATTATATAAAAATCTGTCTCAAATTTCTGTCTTTTTATTAGTTACTGTTTGATTAGCTATCACCCTCTTGATACTTAGAGACTGATGACCTGTTATTAAATAACTATCACGACTAGACCAGTATGTTATTTTATATTTTGAAAATGCTATATACATATTAGTGTAGAGCCCATTGACGAGAAACTATCTGGCAAAAAATATTTCTTCCCTCATACTGTTCAAATTGTCCAAATAGGATTTATCACAAATAAAGAATTGTCGATCATAACGTCCGCTATCAACCCAAGTTGATCAACAGACGAAAAATGGATGCAATGCAGGTAAACTAGGTACTTATTTTAGTACCACAGGGAAATAAGGGTGATATTTGTTTTTTTTTACTAAACAGTTTATATACATTTATAACAAGCTAGGTCATCATACTCCTGTAGATTGCTTAAAACTTTAACCGATTTCTACATTAGTTTCGTAATGTTCTCATCATACATGAATGACTTTTCAATTCATTCAGGCATGTCTGCCAGTCAGCCATATTGTAGGATATAACGCACATGTGAACCACAGTCCTGGCTGGTGTAAAAATGCAGAATAAGTCTGAAGTATATTTAAAATGAACTGGAATATCTTATTTATCTTACATGTTAACTAATTTAAGAACAGTAAAGTCAATAGCTTACAAAAGACTTTCTGAACATAGAAGAAGTATCTTCACTCCCCATTGATTTAGGTGAGTGAATTTTTAGCAAGTCGTACACTTGTCCATCGAGTTTTGTTAGTTTAGAAGAATACCATTGTGATAATCGAGGATGAGGGACTGGAAATAGAGAAAAAAACATTATCATGTACAAATATGATTAGTAAATCATGTACAAAAACCAAGTGAAAGTATGACTCATTGACTTGGACATTCAGCACTTTAAACAATAGATTCTAGGTTAAAATAACCCTCTGACTATTTCGGCCCCGCCAATTAATCAGCATAATAGGACTTCATTTATTGAGCATACCTCATAGCTTGTATAGAGTTACTAAATAGCATAAAATTTCAGATGATTACGAGTTAATTCAGTAATATTCGTCTAAATTCCTAACATTCAAAAACACGCATGTATGCGTATCACAGTTTAAAACTGTTCATACACTTTCGTAGAACATTTGGGGGAATAATAAGTAAAATTGTTTTATTAAATAATTAGTTTCAAGCAGTTACCTAATGAATGAAAGGTAAGAATACATTCCAAAATAATATTTGGAAGCAGTGAATGAAAATGATCCGTAAGTGAACGTGTTTTGAACCAAACAAGTATTGATCCCGCTTCAGACATAGCATCCATTTTAGCTATTAATTAAGAATAACAATAGCACATATTGTAGATATTCAGTGGGTACAGTTTAGAAAAATAAAACATAATAATATTAGCATCTTCAAAAAACAAACTAGAAAAGGCGAGCATATACAACCAACTAATAGTAATAGGATAATAATTCAAGTCGAAATCAAAATCTATGCAGTGATAAGCGTCGAAGCAGTGACTCTTGAGTTACTGACCTAACACTTTACCAACTAAGCTACTTGGTTTATTCCGAATTCGCCATTTTAAACACAACCATCATCTTGTTACCCTAAGCCATCCTTATGGTCTCAAGGTTAGATATCATACAATTAAGTGTGTAGACTGACTATTCTTTAATTTGATGGAATAACAGTGGTGCATATGGTGTGAATGAGCTCGACTCCCAGGAATATAGTGGGTTTTCAGAAGACCGTGGATATACGAATAAGTGTGCATTAAGCCTAGATCATGTAGTACCACACTGATTGTCCACAAATACTTAATTTTATGCTATTTACAAAATGACTGAGAGAGCCTTTACAGTTAAATTTTAAGTGCCATCATCACTAGTTTACTGTGTAAAATCGTTACCGTTATGCGGCAGAGCAACGGACTCATAGAGGTAATACGAATAAGGTTAATAACGTGAAACAGACCAAGAGCATGAAACAAGGACAATAAATGGGGTAGTAACTGAAGGTAAAGACTAAGTAGAAAAGAACAGATATGGTTAGACCACGTTAGAATTCTACTATAGTAGATCTAAGTTGGCTATCATCTACCTCTACACGCAGACAACTGTTTTGACAACTCAAATCGCACAGGCTTCTGGAATTGCAAGCGTCTTCTCCTACTGTCTACCGATAAATTTAGGGATTTAGAAGCATTAGTATCATCAGATGTTTCGCCATTGAGCTTCTCGGAGTTTTCTTTACATCTCACCCGTTTAGGTAGATCTTCAGTTATTTGGGTAGACAGACCCCCCACCACCACTACAAGTGACCTATGTGTTTGCTTCCACAAGTACATCCGAATTGAAATATGGATTAAGAGGTATTCAGGATCGGAAACCTATCTTTTCCGGATAGTTGCAGTATCCCCTTGGTGGTGCTGCGCTCATGTTTCTCAGCTGAGGTGGGAAATAGTAGTAAGTTTGAAACTACCATCGTAATAATTGCAATGTGGTTTAATCTATGTATCTCTGGGTGCTCTTTAACTTCAATTACTACCGCCCTTCTTGATTTTCGTCTGATTAACCCTATTCCTATTACCTCTGCTACCATTAGCAATTTCGATAAACATTTGGTCTTACCACCCGTCCTAATTAACATCTGAGTATTCTGTACAAAATGACTCAATTTACATCGAGCCTACTCAGTTTTTACCCCAGTGTTAATATTATCATAGCTATTAATGAGGTCTAGATTCTACAGCAACATAACCAGGATTAACGAAGTCTACACTCAGTGCAATACGAAAACCTAATTAGTCAAACGTTTGGTCTTCTGTTTGCATCACCATAGGACTTTCCACATTTCTTTCCCACTGTTCTTTGACTGCTGTCACCAATTCACTAGTTCATAATCTACTTTTAATCACTTGCTGACGGAGGATTATAATTAACAATTCAAGTTGCTAGAAAACAATAATGACATAATCTGAAGTGATCCTGATAATGGAGAGGTTTTGTTTTGATGTATGGTCAAGAACATGTCGACAAAATGCTGTGAATTCGCTCTGAGCAGACTAAGTTCGATAAGAATGAAGAAAAGAGGAATAAAATACAACAGAGTAAGATCTAACTCACAGGCATCTTAAAGAAAATGAAGGATAATGGATCAATTTACTTTGACTAGTATGAATGTATTCGACCTGTTGGTTCGGTAATTCGACATCTGCATGGATTGCTATGAATACATAAATCAGGATTACTTCTTCGCCAGATTTCGGATATGTCAGGTTCTCATTATCACTATATCGCCTAATGGCTATAGCTTTAATACTGGAACCAGTTAGAAGGGAAATATGTTATTATTCTCTTCGTTATACATTCTAGTACACTGATAGTATTAAGGATATTGACACTTCTGGTAAAGTCATGTATTTAGTAGTAAAAATACACAAGATTTCAAATCCGTTTCTAAAAAGACTGTTCATAAACTTGGAACTTAAAGGTGGTGTAGCATCAGACGTTCTTAAAAATCATCTGAGACCAAACAGCGCCAAATTCTTTGTAGATAAACTTCATTTTAGTTTTACTAGTGGTAAACTGTTCCCTGTATGCGCAACAGACAATATCTCTCGACTAATTGTCTCCACTTACTCCTGTGCAGCAACGTACATCGGCCACAGATAGCTGTCAATACATATATGATAGTATATTTTAAGCTGGCTTTAATCAGGGTTAAGCAAAATCAGTTTTAAGTTCCATCCTTTAACATTTGGTTGGTTCCATCCATTCAAATGGTCAAAATAATGGTTTTAACTTTTAAAGTAATTAGTCATCTTGATACATTTTCCACAGCGTATCGAGGAGACGAAGACGATTTGAAAAGCGTTGCTATTCATTTCGAACAATCTTATCATACATGATCTTATGGAGAAAGGTGAATTCAGACAGTAGAAAGGAAACAGCAAAAACAAAATCTGAATCACGTATCTGTAAATTTAAACCACTTTTATAGCAACAAAAACAATTTGTCCTTATGTTGATCCTACCTTAGCAGTTAGCATTGATTTAAATATTTATAGTGAGTGAAGCAGTGATGGGCTAGGAAGGTGGTGTCACCTATGTTAGATTTATAAATACGTATAAATATTGTAGGACTTGGTAACTTATCCCTAAACTGCATTGACACCATACATCATACTGCACCGGCAAGGAAAATTTAGTAGGAGTGCTTCTCCAGGTATATCCAATTTGAACGCTTAAGTTAGATATGATCGTTTCTTTGGAACCACCTAAAGACACACTTTGCCAGCAGCAGTAGCTATTCTCACTAAATTCTCACGATATCTATAATCATACAAGCAGTTCTCTATCATTCTTATTTCATCATTCAGTGCAAAGAGTGTAAATCTTCCTGACTCGAAACATCACTGCATGGATAGAATTCCTTTTGTACGTAAAAGGAACAAATTATTAAAAATGTGAGCTGACCGATCCATGACTTCTTACGAAATATACTGCAACCTATAGTGTAGTCTGTTACTCTTGATCAATAAAGTTCAAGAAATGGTAGACACCCATCCTCCTCTATTTATGAGGTGAAGTCGACTTCTGGATGACCACTGTTGAATGTATCGATAAGGACGTACACATTATTGTCAGTTTTTAATAAAAAGAACGTGTCACCCATTTATCTACAACAGAATGACAATTTAATAATCGTGCTATGCAATGGTCCACTTTCCAATTCTGTCTTAAAGACGTCAAGTGTATGGGATATTTAAAAGTGTGTTAGAGTCCACACTCCACTCCATAATGTAAACAGATAATCTATCATAAAAGTTTATAAATGACTTACAACAGGAATCCAACCAAGTGGATTTTTTATTGACAATGTAGCTTCATGCATTGATGGTGAGCATTCATCGTAAGCATCGAAAAATGCATCACCATCTTCATCATCTGCATTATTATCATTCCTGATATTGTCTGATGGAACTGTACTAGTATCAGATGATGAATGCTGATAACCTTCGCGAGCTTTATTTAAACAGGTAGAGAGAAAAAATAGTTATATCTCTCACCAAGATTAGGCCGAAAAGTACAAAAACAATTCATAATAACATAAGTTTACTCAATGAAACCACATTAAGAGAGAGATAAATCAGCAGTGGAAGGAAAAGGTGATAAACTCCAACAGTATGCCTGAGCCTATCTATACTAGTGAGATGTTCTGTTTCTTCAGTGCTATGGAATTTTATAATTTCTTTCACTCCATCCTGTTTTCGAGGAATACGAAAACCGTTAGTTTTGAGTTCCAAAGGTTCTTCTTCAAGTGTTTACACGTATATCAGCTACCGACGTCATGTCAATCGTAAGTGCAGGTTCATTGCTAGTGATGTAAGCATGGCTAAAATAAGCTTGGCCATACCTAACTTATGTAAATATCCTATTGAATCTTATAAAACACGACTGACGAAGGCTTTTGATATATGCACACTCAACTACGATCCGCTGGCATTATTATGGCTAGTTATGATAGATGATTAATCAAAACTCAGGGGCAATTGTTGAGTATTAACCATTGACACACTCGTTGAATCTAACTGAACTAATAACGGATTAGAAAACCACACAAATCCAAATGTTTTATGACTGTACTGCATTCTTATAAATAATCTGTTATTCATGCACAACCCCCCGGACTAACTATTACATTTCACACACCTCGGTAAATCACCTCAAACTTTCAGTTATATGTTTTCGACTATACCACTGATTTCACCTTAACTCCTGATTTTGCACACTTGGGTACTGGTCAATTAATATAGGAGGCAAAAGAATTAGTTATCGACTTCGAACAATAAATTATCTATAAAACGTTCATCAGTATACAATGTCATTTCTTTATGTAATACATCTGATTAGTACACACAAATGGAATTATGATTCCATATATTGACCAGTAAGAATTTACAAATGATCCAGGAACAGTCACATTGTTTATGGTAATTTACTTAGTTGTGGTTAGTAGAAGAATCCAGGATGCACGTTTCGTCCTATTTGGGACTCGTCAGCTGGATGTGCCGGTACCCCAGTGAGTAATTTGGTTCCCACTGAGACTCGAACCTTATACCAACCACTTCAAACGCCAAAGCATTGTTCCCCAGGCCACTGAGACATAATAGCTACCTCTTGTACATCGGGTATTGTTTATTACAATTTGCTGATATGCTTGTAACTATCCGTTGTTACACTGGATCGAATTGCACGATCTATGTTGGCATATGGGCTCCTTTACGGATGCCTCGATATTGCCTGAATGTTTATCACGGTGAGTTATTCAGCTGTGGCTAGCCACAACTAGACATTGCCCACATATCGTAGAATAATAACGAAGTAAACAAAGTACTTTAGTAGTAATAGAAAAATAAATCCAACATAATTATTGAGATAAGATTAAAGAGAATCACCTTTGAAAATACACGCATTAAATCTGTGTAAAATGAAATCCAAGCTATAGTGAACATCAACAAGCCAATCACTGAACTTTGATTCCTCGGCAGATATCATTGCATTCTGATTCCATGATTTCAGATAAGACCTATTTTCTAACAATGATGAGAGTTTTCCTAGTGGGTCTGACGTGGGCGACGATATCACCTTGTTGTACACTCCTTCATATAACGACGATGGCGGTAGACAAATAAGACGATCAAAACGCAATTTTAATTCAATGTACAATTCATTGAACATCGACTTGATCAGTAACAAACATTCATTGAATTCATAATTTTTATAGACAAACAGATTGGTAATTATTATAGCTAGGCGATGAATCAAAGAGCATGGGTTAGGTAAACCAAAATATGCAGCAAATGTTTGCACCTTGAAATGATAGGAAGAAAAAGATAAAAATATAAAAGAAGTCATTAGTGAAATGTTGCTACATTTTGAAGTTATTTTTTACTGAGAATCATTATTAAAAAGGATTTGTAACTCGATATAGATTGATACAGTCTTCAAGAGGGATGAAATGATGAACAGGGTTGATAGAAGAATAAGAACCGCACTAAAAATCGCATTCCCAGCAGCTTAGTTAATCTTTATGCGTAAAACAAAGTGATCATTACAACAATCGAAAGTCCACAGGTTGCCCGCTGGTGTCACTTCAAATTGTATTTACCAATTCATGTGTACATGTCAGAGCACGTATATCAGAAGGACAGAGGGAAGGGATGAGACTTCATTTGCTGAACACATTCCACATAAGTTACACATATAAGAGCCAGAATGTCTTGAACGTCCCATCCCTAAACATTTAGTGGATACAGGACATGCAATAAAGATCTCGAGTGCATTTAAAATAATTAAGAAACAAAATAATGCTATTTTACTGAGATTCACAGAAACAGTTACTACCAAAACTAAACCAACCCTGTGTATCCGATTCCCTCTGTAGCCATAGATTTGTTTGCCGTTCAACATAAGCCCCTCCAAAAAGTTTTGTATATCTTGTATTTTCAATTTCTTTTACAACCGATTTCACAATCGACTCCTCTTTATTTCCAACATTTTACTATCTGACCCAAATCAACTTGACCTTAATTTATAGTCCCTTTTTATCTACGTATTTACATTACGAACTTATAATATGCATGCTGAGGAGTCTCATACTAAGACGAAACAGCTGTGCAGTGCACCCAGATTTTCAATGGTTCTCCAGACGATGTAGTTACGTGATGACTACTACCTTGAAACATTTCATTTCATTTACACCTCCTTAATCTGCATCAATTCTTTGATTATTTTCCATCAACGGACTATCATCCTTTTGGTAACTACACCTGCACGCAAGTAGAAAGGTGATGAAATAGAATCCATCCATCACATTCTGCGGAATTTTTAGCTCTTGTTTCACTAGATTTTTAGAACAGAACCGTTAGTATAAAAGTCTTATGTGTTGTGAACACAACCTGGGATTCATCAAGAAAACTTCCTTAATTTATTCTAACAGACAACACCTGTGACGAATTCGCATATATGGGGATGCATAGCTACAACTACTTGATAACAGAAAGCGAAATCGCATCCCATCACTGTAATCACGTGAAAAATATGTAAAGGTTACAGGCATTTCACAATATCTCACTTCAAAGCATTGCTCGAATTAGCTGGGGTCATCACTCAGTCAATCATGCTGACGATGGACATACAATACTACGCAAGGCTGTGGAAAGATGAAACATATACCATAGTTGCGAAGTATGTGAATAAAATAGAAAAACTTTAAGATGGTTTAACCAACCAAAACATAATATGAGATTATGAAGTTGTTGACCATTGGTCTAGACCAAATACGCAGCAGTAAACTTTGTGATTAACAAAAACAAAACCGATATATCGAGACCTTACGCTAGGACGCACAGAAGTGGTCAAAAGGAATGGTAGTAATTTACAGTACAAAAGTTTTATATATATATATATATATATATATATATATATATATATATATATATATATATATATATATATATATATATACGGATTTCCAACACCAACGTCAAGTCATTGCTTCTATATGGTTCAGAGACTTGGCGAGTCATGAAGGGGATTTCCAATAAACTACAGACATTCATTAACAACTGCCTACACTGGCTCGCTACTGAAGATCAGATGGCCAGAACATTAAGAGTAAGCAACAAGGAACTCTGGGAACGAACCAACCAAGAACCTATCACTCAACAAATATGCAGGAGGAAGTGGAGATGGATTGGGCATGCACTGAGAAGGCCGATTGGGGACATCACGCGTCAGGCCAGTCACTCGAGTGCAATCCCCATGGGAAGCGACGAGTTGGACGTCCGAGGGTGACATGGAGGAGATCGTGCGAGGAGGAAATGAGAGCTTCTGGGCTGTCGTGGAGACAGGTTCAAAAGATCTCAGAAAACAGAGGTCACTGGAGACGTGCTACTGAAGCCCTATGTTCCACTAGGAACCCAAGGGACTAATAATAATAATAAATATATATACGATTGCATTTATTAATAACAAGCAAAAAAAATCCATTACTTTTACCTTAGTATTTCACAACCTCCTGATATGAGTTGGAGAACTATTGATGATCTAGGAGCACTGCACAGCTGCTTCATCCTGGTATGGGACTCCTCAGCACCACCCACCTACAATCTGGCTAGGGATCGAAATCAGGATCGTTAGGTCTTACGGCGAACACGTTAACCACTCAACCAATGCATGAGAAGTCAAGCCTACTACTGGCTAACAGATCAACATAAGGTCATCAAAACGGAATTATCTAGGGTGAAATAGTAAGTCGATTCTAGAATTAGAAAAGGATTGATTATACAATCATAGTGGTGTATGTAAGGAAAATATACAGTCGATTCAGGTGATGACTAATAGGTTAAGAAACAAGTTAAAAATAATAATACTAAGTATAATCAATAATCGGAGTAGAGTATTATGAGAATTTTAATGGGAGATCGGAGTTAACATGTTAAGATGTAGGAATAATCAGTCAGTGAGAGTAAGATGAATATTGGAGGATTATGACGTAAATCTTCTGTGCGCAGAGCCCAGATTTCAATTGTTGGATTGTCAACTCCCCTGTTATACATAGCTGACGAATCCGCACTCTTTTTGAGACATTTGGCTTAACTTTGTATAGGATCTCGAAAGAAGACTGCAGAGAAGTGATAGGATCACAGTTGACCAAAGGATCCATGACGGACTTTCGCTTGACTAGCATTTTCTGGACAGCCAAGCCGAATAGTGCTCAGAGACGCGTTTAGAAAGACTGCGCTTTGTGCCGCCTACACAACCTACTCCACAAGAACAGGTAAACTGATAGACACAAATGAATGTGGCCCAAAGTGGCAAGTTATTCTTCACAGTACCTAGAATCAACTGTTGGTTGAAGAAGACCAGTCGCAGTTCAGCGACATAGAATATTTTTGGAATGCTTAGAAAGACGATTTCTATCTTTCTCCTGCGTCGTTCACTTTGAATTCAATATTCATAAATAAGAGCTTTGTAGGAACAGTAATAATTGTAATTGTTTTGGCTTCATATTTTTTTCGATGAACCTTGAGGGATAGCCAATCTGAAAAGCTTTTTAAAGATGTCTCGGCTAATCACCTATCATGTCACATGTACATATTCTTATTATTATCATGCAAGAAGGACAAAACTTTTCTCGGTACCCAACTTCAAAAATGAGTGCATTATCCATCCTACGTTGGCTCCCTTTTTAAGGAGTCATCAGGTTTTTTCTTCAACGAGATGTCAAGAAAATGAAATTCTGAGTTGTTCTCAACTTCCCTCATGAAATTGATGGACGGATCACTCACTGAATTTGAGAAGAATGGAATCAAGATCAATTTTCTCATCGCATATACTGAAGGTGTGATCCATATATCTTCCATAAAGATCGATAGTTGGACGTAGTACAGTGTTTACCAAATTAGCCATAAAGCAATCTGCTAGAAAACGGTCTCGTGGTGACCTAATGCGTACACCATCATTTTGCCGATAAAATTAGTTATTAAACTGAAACTGCACATTAAAAGTGCATCGTAGAAGTAATTCCTTTAGATAATGAATTGGTATACCGCCTTCTAGATTATTAGTTTCGATATAGTTGCATAAGAAACAAATAGTTTCTGTAAGTGGAACATTTGTGAAGAGCAAAGTTACATCCAAAGAGAGTATTAATTATCCAAATACATTGAGGTTATTTATTGTGTCGATAAAATCAAATGAATCAAGTGAAGTGTGTCTGTTAATCCAACTTCTCACTGGTTGAAGAATTTTAGTTGGCCACATAGCTGATTGGAGAATTATTCACATCCAGAATATCTAAAATGCGATTTTTTCTGATACGGTTTTGTTTACGATATGACTTTTTGAGATCAATTAGTTGCTCATCATCATATGAAAACAATAGTCCAACAGTTTTATTTCCTTTTAATTTTATTGTTAGTAAAATTTTCCACTGTTTTCAGTTATTTTTGCTGCGTGTATTAAGTGTTGATATGATGAACAAAGATTCAGTAATTAATCTCTCCTTCCACCTTAATATATCGAAACGGCATTTCATGCACGCAAACAGGAGTGATTCATCATATATCGCAAACATTTTGAAAGTTCAACCAACACTCAAAAGAATGAAGACCTCCAACTTTTACACTAATGAATTCAAATTAGTTTTCATCAAAAATTGAAATTAAGAAAGGAACCAATTAAAAATCAGCAAGTAGGGGATAAGGGTTTCGGCTTAGCTCAGTGCTCTTCAGCAGTGTGTAGTAAGTTTTATATACATCCTGTTCTCTGACCATTCCATGGCTGATGTAAATCGGTGATAAAAACTGCCCTGAAGTAAAACAAAATGCTTGCATGTCTATCCTGCAGAAAGCTGACTTCTATCAGACGTCATACTATGTACCAATGTTCACATTGGTTTTTGGTTGCTTTTTACTTATGTATAAAGTGAAACATTTTATAAAAGTTGTGAATTCTATGATCTATTCAGTAAATGTACACATGAAGATTACTTTACATAACTGCTTGTGTCACAATGATTTTTAGGCCAAAAAATTTTCCATCCACCAAACATTATGATTTCATGTTTATTTTTCGACTTGGTTTGTTAATCTTCAATACTACCGCAAAACTTACGTCTAAATGTGATACATGGTGTTTACGATTCCAACTAATAACTCATGTACAGTTGAATCCCCAAAAGAGGATGATAACTCCCCACGAAGAACATTATTGCACAGATTTTCAGCATCAGCATCTGGGAAAAGAAACTAAACATTCAGGTAGATATTGAGTATACTGTCAAACAAAATGAGGTTAACCTAAACAATAAAAATGAACCATTTGATGATGTAATTCGAACAATTTCTTCATACGAAACAGAAATATGGTCGAATCACATGGATAGTAGTGAATGGAGTAATGTAACTGCAGAACAGTTCAAGTTGCCAAACTGTGGGGAAGAACCACACACATACAGAAGGCTAGTGAATAAACCAAGAGAAAGTGTTATAACTAATAAATAACTGTGGACAGATAACTGCAAAATATAAATTTAACATTGTCATATGGTTATGACTTTCTACATATCTTAAAATCTGGAAATAACCACACTTCCTTATGTTTCCCAACAGGATGGAACATAACAGCAGATATTCGTGACCCTTTTTCTAACAGCCCTGTTTGAACTTACAGTAAATGCGTTTGTGCAAGTTATAACAGTAGGTAAATTACCCAAAGGGATATAATAAGACTTTCAAGACTTGGAGGAATAGAAACTATGAAAGCCACTGCAGGTATCCAGTAGGTTCCTATGTAAGCTGAATGTGACACTAATTAGAAAAATATTGCAGTGAATGAAGAGATTAATTAAAACTATCCTTAGAATCACTCATTCACACATTATTTGAACGGAATAATGACTACTAATGTCAGTCACACTACAAAAAGCTTACATGGCAACATATCGGATATCGCAATGCATGACCGAAATTACTGAAATTTTACAATAGTCGATTTATTTTGTTTCGTAGACTTTAGAAAGTGAGTCTACAACTCGGTGCACTGTTCAAATCAACAGTTAGAGAACTTTATTAACATGATTGAGTAAGTCAGTAAAAATTATCACAACATTGCATCATAAACAAGTGAGATGACCATATGAAAGCATGTAAACTTGACCTATTATTTAAAGCAGATGTCAAAAGGAGAATTATTAGTGGATAGGTATGAAGAATAATAGTATGTTTTAAGTCAAGAAAATCAAATCGTAAACGACAGTAAAACACCTACATAGATCTTTATTCAGTATTAAAGGAATTCAATAAAGTGCTTTTTACCAGAAATATTGTAGAATTTAGTATGTTCACTGAACTGCTGATAAATGAATATACTAAGTCGACTACGTAGAAATTCGAGAGTTGTAAAACACTGAGACACAGTATATTCAGTTATTACAAAAACCATTTCGATTAACCATCAGTCATTTAATATCATTATGAGACCCTGTAATGTTGAGTAATGATTAGAGTTGCTAGACCTCACATCAGCAAATCAATATAGAAAGTAGTAAGACGAAAGGTAATGAAATGAAAATAATGAAATCAAAAGCAAACGACAAAATGTGATATGACGATCAGTATGAACACAGTGTGGATGCATGTGCACTACTGAGATTGACCATAAGTCAAATCATCAATATTCGTAGGTAAACTAAACGGTCTGATCTCGAAGTAAACAATTAAATCAGATTTCAGATGGGTATTTGCTGCAAGCAAGCTAGTAGTAGTTGAGAAAACAACTAAACAGGTAGGATTAATCAAAGTAAGTAAACGAGCTGGTTGATCTAAACTGTGGCACCTATATCATCCATCGAGGTGATATTATCAAAGTCAACTTTGAAATGAAATAAACTCCGAGAATTTACTGACAAGTGGTTAGTTAGGCTCATCTACTAGTCGTATATATGATTGGTAGTCCCAAGCATTTTTTTCCCCTGTTATTACGATGAGCACTTACCTAGTAAGTGTTCTGATAATTTTCTTTTCGATAAAACAATTGGTGAGATATGTTTGATTTTTTTTCATTAGTTAATAGATAAATTCTTCAACAGTTTACAAGTTAATTAATGGTAGATATCAGCATCAGGTTTCCAGAAATATTTTAGCACCCTTAGGACTTCATCGGTGTAAAAAGATTTGCGCATTCATCAATTAAATCCTAGTGAACAGTTATCTGCATATGTAATACATTGATAGAAAAGGCAGAAAAGGTTTATTTCGTATGCTCATCGTTACTCGCAGGTGAAATATGATCTCCAAAAAATGTTCAGCCTCCCTAGAAATATAGCTTTAAGGTGATCAGATAAACATAAAGTGAGTAATCACTGGTTTGAACGGTAAGAAACATTCTAAGCTTGTCACCCCGAATTTTTGAGAAGCAAGTCGGTGGTTGATAACCTCAAACGACATAAATCTAAACAGATTGAAATAATGAAAAAGGCATTCACGTTTCATTTCATGCCAATAATTGAACAGTCTGTAATTCTGTGCTCAATTTACTTTAAGTCTATATCACTAAATTGTATCCACGCCAACCACTTATTCTTTGTTACTTTCTTCATGATGTACTTTTATAGCATGAATATTGAAAAGAATGAAATACTATGGGAGGTTTTACTAAATCTAATGGGTTAGTAATTAACCACTTGGGAGTTTTCAAATATTATATTTTCTACAATGTCAAATAATAATAAAACGTTTAACCTCAACTTAATTTTCAGAGTATTTTAGAATAAACAGTTCATATAGTATTTCTGCTAAATTAATTCTAGTTCGTGATTTATAAAACAATCATACTCCGAGTTTTCAGCATTTGATTACAAGTAACACATCTGTGAGTTTACATACACAAAATGTACAAGAAAGCTACTAAAACTGTAGTGGGCGTTGCTGATCAGAATGGATGTAAGTTGTATATATTGAGAGGGTGGCAGAAATCATAGGCAATTACCAGCAATGGGTAAAGATTCTGTCAAGAGAAACGCAAGAGACAAAGTGGGCGGATTAAGATCAAATCAAGATAGAAGCAGAAGATGAAATGAAGCACATAATGCGAATGACTGTTTTAGTTGTAAGTGTACAATATTTGATCACTACTTTACAAGATGTCCTTCCTGTGTCTCAGTCTTCTCGTTTTCTTCAGCATTTGTTTTTCTTTTATTTACTGGTTACATTACACTGCACAGATGAAAAATATCTAATTGTGTGAAAATAAGATTCAAAATAATTCCGATATTATGTTCCCCGGGGGTAAATCTAGTTAACAAACTAGCAACCAACCAGATGATTTTGACAGAGTAACGATTATCCAGTCAAATAATATGAGAATTATTGAGCTTCTACAGTTAAGTGGAGTTTCAAACACTAGTCAGTTCATTCCTATTGATTTCTGTTACTTAATAAACCGCCTGTTCACATACTGAGAGTACATAGTTATCACTAAAATAATTTGAAAATCATTTACCAACGCACAATGATATAATAAACAAATAAATGAGTAATCCTTACTAATAGAAACTGTACCACAGAATCGCTTGACAGAACAGAATCTGAAAATTCAACAGAAAAAAAAATATCGTCGAGTTTCTCAATCACAAATGTATTTCAGAGTGTTATACGCCAAAAAGCGACAAAATGGTCTCCCAAAAGTATTCAACGAATTTCCTTGAACATCTGTAACACATCGCAACCCAAACAGTGGTGAGTAGCGAGGGATAAAGAGACAGCGGAGGTACTGCGATAGCCAATAATAGACAGTTACTCGGACTTATCATAGGAACTGGGGTGAAAAAAGTCAGTGCTTAGAAAGACTGTAGCAGAAAAGCATGGGTCTGCGTGGGTGTATTGACCAGACGACCACGCTCCTACAGGTACTGGAACACGGGCACACCACAGCCCGAAAATTGCATTTCTTGACCTCAAAACTATTCGAATCATTCGATCAATAGGTATTATGACTGTGTTTCTCAATGAAAGGAGTATCGATTGAGTACATAACTCTGTTGCAGGCTCTGTACTCGAGCACTCATTGGCGTGTTAGAGCCTATGCTAAGTTGTCAGTTGAGTTGTGTACATCGAGTGATTTCCGTCGAGGATGTTCAGTTGCTTCATTCTTATTCAATTTAAGCATAGACGAACTAATTGAGGCCTTCGTTTCTCGTCGAGTTACTTCAAAGGAATTGATCCTATCAAAGGAGAATTCTTGTTAGATCTAGAGTTCACAGATGATATAATTGTATTAGGTGAAGACGCCGCTAAGATGCAGAGTCTTTTGGATATACTGACTGGCAATTTGAAAATGTTTGGCATAAGTTTTTCACCACCCAAATGAGACTGGACTGGTTTCAACCAGTGCTCTACCTAACAACAGAAAGTGAAATAGTTGAGCACATTGACCACTTCACTTATCTAGGAAGTTGGATCAGCCACTGTGGATCAGTGACTGGCGAAATCTCCTCACGGATACGAAAGTCTCGCTTGCCTTTCGCCAACTCACGCCACTCATGAGACTGCCATGATATCTAATTGTCTATTAAGGGTCAAGTGTACTATTTTGCAGTTGGCTCTACTCGTTCTACTATATGGCCATGAAACGGCCATTAAAGGTAGGGGAAATGAGACGGTTCCCTATGCTCGACCACTGTTACCTTCGTAGCATAAACAGCGTGTTGTGGTATCATCAAGTCAGTAATGCAGACGCCAGGCGTAGAGTTTTAGGGAGAAAAGTAAGTCAATGAGTCGGTGAGTCTTCATCGGTTGAGGTAGGATGGGACATGTGTTAGGCAGCCTCGTCACTGTCTGCCTTGTTTCACAATGTTAGCTGAAGCAGATTTACGCAAGAAAAAGGTTAGGGGTTGTCGGACCAAAAGATGGCATCAGTGCATGAAGTCTTTGACTGTTGGTGTTAGCCGTGTGGGGAAATATAGGATTCTCGGTTGAATTCAGTATTGTTGAAGAAATCAGTGGTTAGAAACTCTAGGTGATGGCTCAGAATGCATGTCAATGGCGCACATATATCCACACATTATCTTCATCTTGATCATCATTCTGAATTCAGCATTTTCTTATACCTCCTTTGACAACCTTCAACCGCTTTTGACTGACTTCTTCCTTATTTCTTCATCTTTCATTTTAGTGCATTGTTGTGCTGATATGAAACCTGGCAACCTAATTCATTACGCTGCAACGCCAGGTCAAGGAAGAATCCGGCATTGTAGTGCATCAATTCATCTTGTCACACTTCACAGCAAGTTCAAAAAGGAAACAGATAGAAAGAGTGATATTACAGTAAACAAAAGTTGATGAGAGACTAAAGAGATGAAGGTTGGTGTAAACTCTGAAGACTTTAAAGATGATAAGATGACCGTCGGTAAATCGATGTCATTATGACCAATCTTCAGTCATACCCCAAGAGTCTGAAACCATTGATTCCTACGGACTCAAGAACCTTGCTGAACAATCTCTATAACGCATTGTTAGATAATCCAACAAGAATGTGACGATTACATACTCGAAAAATGTTACTTTTAATATATGTCAGAATTACCTGATGAGAAATCGGCTGGTCGAACAGCCTTTTCAGACATAGAGCATCCTTTCAAAAAACGTAGAATACGTACACCTGAAAAACAATACAGTTTCTGAAAGGGTAATAAAATCATATTTATCGCAAGTAACTTTTTTTTAAACAAGTAATCAAGTGAATCAAATCAAGCAAAACACATTAGAGTTCCTTCTCTTAGTCATAACAATGACTTACTGTCATCGGGCGAAGAGACGAGTGTAAAGGAAGATGAATAAATAGATAAAAGTAAAGAAGACTACTCAAATGAATTGTAACTGAAAACTGTTCTGCTAAAATATTTCCTAACGATGACATTTTATCGAAACGACTTAGAATTTGGGTTTTATAACAAGTAGCCGACATCCCATTCCCAAGATTTTTGGAACAGTTCATAAAAAGTGAATAGTATGGTAGAAGTAGCACTTATGACATCGTGTTCAGATTTACAAGAGATACACTCTTTCAAAACTACGTTTCGATCAACCACTGAAGCCATTGCTTACGCCCTAGGTGAAGAGCGAAATAACCTGCGATTCATCATCATCATAATTATGAACATAGGACTAGGCATTACTGCCTAACGGTCAGAAATGCCACACCTCATATCAGCACATCAAGTAAAAATGTAGTGAGGTGAAGGATGAAGATAAGAGAATGCAGTCAAAAGAAATATAAAGTACGAGAAGAAAGGAAAGAGGAGTGACAAAATAGTGAGATTCGGTATAGCGTTGTTAAGATGAGGATAATGTGTGTATACATCTGCGCCACTGACTTCGGTTCTGAGCCATATCACCTAGGGTTTCCAACCACTGGTTTCTCTTGTCCCGTGGACCCCAACCACCTAGTCTGCATCGCCCTACATGGCTTAAACCAACAGTCAGAGACTTCATACATTGGTGCCATGTTTTAGTCTGGCCACCTCGGGCCTTTTTCCAGCCTCAACCTACTTCGACCAACATTGTGTGACGAGGCTATCGGTGACCAGGCATACGTAGTACGTGTCTTAACCATCTTAGTCGATAAAGGTTTGTAACCTCGTCAACTGATTTACCTATGCTCCCTAAAACTCTCCTCCCGACTTCTTCGTTGCTCACCTGGTGACACCACGCAATACGGCCTCTACTATGAAGGCAACGGTGGTCAAACACTTGAAGCCTTCTCATGTCTTCCACCTTGAATGGCCATGTTTCAAAGCCATACAGTAGAAAAGACTGGACTGCTGTGGATCACACACCACCCTTAATAGACAATCGGATATCACGGCGGCACCATAGGTGGCGTAAATTGACAAAAGCCAGCTGACCCTTTTGTACCGTGTACAGATTTCATCGGCAACTAACCCTCCAGGGTTGATCCTACCTCCCAGGTAAGTGAAGTGGTCAACACACTCAACCACTTCACTCTCTATTCTTAGCCGCAGCACCATTGAAGACCAGTCCTGGAGCAACAATTTGCATTCGGGTGGTAAAAACCGCATCCCAAACATTCTCAAATTCCAACTCAAAGTGTTCAGAAGACTCTGAATCTTGTCAGCGTCTTCACCTAACAGGACTATCTCATCTGCACATTCTAGGTCTAACGAAAATTCACCTGTGATTAGATCAAAGTCAGTGTAATTAGGTGACGAGAGGGAAACCTCCATAAGTATATCTATGATAAAATTAAATAAGAATGCAGACAGTGGACACCCTTGACAGACACCACTCAATGAACATAGCTCCCCGGATATCTCACCATAGGCTCTAACACACCCACAAGTGCTCGAGTAAACAACCTTCAATAAGGTGATGTACTTACTCAGCACGCCTTTCAGTGACAGACATTACCATAAGACTTGTCGATCAATGAAGTCGAATGCCGCCTTCAGGTTGAGAAATACAGCTATTGTCGGACATCGGCAAGCGTCCCTGTGTTCCAAAACCTTGTGCAGTGTGAATATTCGGTCGATACACCCGCGGCCAGGTCTAAAGCCTGCTTGCCTAGTTTTCTCGGGCTTGCTGTTCCCCAGCTCCACTCAGGCGTCGAAGAATTATGGAACCTAGAATGTTAGACACTATGTTCGTCAGGCTGATTCCTCTATGGTCATCACAAGAGGACTTCTCGCCTTTCTTGAAGACTGGGATAATCAGTGATTTAGACCAGTCAGAGAGGATCGTATTTGATTCCCATATACTGGCTAACACTTTCGTTAACCTGACTAACAGCAACCTGCGATTAGTGAAAAGAGATACCCAACAATCCTTAACAGATATAACATTTCTTGGAAACTTTTATTGTACTTTATTACAGAGTTGAAGGAACGAAGAATATTCGTTTTGATAGCTTCCTCTTTACTCCATATATGCATATTATTATTATTTGTCCCTTAGGTTCCCAGTGGAACATAGGGCTTCAGTAGCACGTCTCCATTCCACTCTATTCTCTGCTCTCTCTCTCTCTCTCTCCGCTCCACGACTGCCCACAGGCTCTCATTTCTTCCTCACACCATCTCCTCTATGTCACCCTCACCTCGGACGCCCAACTCGCCGTTTCCCATCCGGGTTCTACTCGAGTACCTGGCCTGGCAAGTGATGTCCACAAACCGTCTCCTCAGACGATACCCAATCCATCTCCACTTCCTTCCACTGAATACTGGTTCAGCGATAGCTTCTTGGTTGGTTCGTCTCCACGCCAGAGCTCCTTGTTGTTTATTCTTTCTCGACATCTGAGCTTCAGTAACGAGTGTAGGCAGCTGTTGATGAATGTCTGTAGTTTGTTGGAAACCCCTTTCGTAACGCACCAAGTCTCTCAACCATATAGCAGCAATGACTTGACGTTGGTGTTGAAAATCCTGATCTTGTTCCACATGCTGAGTGCAGATCTTCACACTGGTTTCAGGTTAATGAAGGCCTGTCTTGCTTTTCCGATCCTGGCTTTGACATCCTCGTCTGTACCGTCTGTAGTTGAAACGGTGCTAATTCTCGGCTCTCTGAGCTAAGATCAGGTGTAGTATATATATATATATATATATATATATATATATATATATATATATATATATATATATACAAATTATTTGGGTATAAGAAGAATAAATTTAAGTCAACAATAAAATAAATTTTTACAGCGATGAAGTGTTCAAATCAAGTGATCAAACAGTTTTCTACAGGAAAGATGTAGGTGAATAACAATATTCAAACTGTGTTTTCGCTCATCAAAATTCGAAAGAAGTGAAAAGAGTTATTTATCAATACTTATAATTCCCCGCTGCTATAACAGAAAGAACTGATCGATTTCTGTTGGCAAATCAGCTCCAATGTGGAAGCCTCGATGCAGTGTAAAAACAGGAAAACACGCGTATTAATAAATAATAACTCATAACTGTTACATAGGAATTGGCCTTTGTTGCCCAATGGTGTTTGGAGCTCTGAATGGTGGATTTGAGTCCCAGTGAGAACGCCACTGAGATGAAGGTATATCCAACTGACAAGTGCCGAATGGAACGAAACATACGTTCTAGATTCCACTGCTAGCCACCAACTAAACAAATTATAAAATATTATGAGATCAATTTTCACTTGGTCTTAGTTCCAGTGTAGGAAAAAAAGCAGCTCAGTGTTGGGACTGTGCGACTCATATGTTTCAAGTTGAGGCCATTTAGTTCGTTTTATTTTCTGTGGCAGACAAAAATGCCGTTTTTGACTCTCAACTGTCCACTGTGGAGACTCCAAATGGAATAATTTAGAGTCAATCAACAAAATACGTCCGAGAAAAAGAATAGTTAGTTCAAGATACAACACGGATGCAGTATCACTTATATTCCGAACTTTCCAGTGACAAAACTCTCAGAAATATATACGCAAAAGCCACACAGTATGCCATGTAAAAGATTTTAGAATATTCAGTACGTCAAGTTAATGTACATTGAAATATCCTTTCATTTTTCGATGAAACCACTATGAAGTAGGAAAAGGGTGAAGAGTATGTTGAAAGAATTTACTACCAAACCACGAGTGTACTGTGCTGCAGTCTGCTCTCTTCTACTCTATGGGTGTAAAACATAGTCATTAAAGGTAGAAGACATGAGAAGGCTTCAGGTATTTGACCATCGTTGTCTTCGTAGCATAGGCCGGTTTTTCGTGGTGTCGTCACATGAGTAACGCAGAAGTCAAGAGTAGAGTTTTGGGCAGGAGAGGTACAATAGTTGATGCGATTGGGAACTTTCATCTACTGAGATGACTGAGACATGTGTTACGCATGCCTAACCACCGTCTACCTCGTCACAAATTGTTGGTGAAAGTAGGTTCAGGTTGGAAAAAAGCTCGAGGCTACCAGAATAAAACATGGCAACAACGAATGAAGTCCTTGACTGTTCGTTTGAGCCATGCAGAGTGATCCAGATTAGCTAGTTGGGATCCGCGGGACAAGAGAAACCAGTGGTTGGAGACTTTAGCTGATATGGCTCAGAACCTATGTCACTGGCGTAGATGCATACACACATTATCCTCATCTTGACCACTATACTTATTGACATTATCTCATTCTTCCTTCTTCTCTTTTACTATTTTCTACTACTACTTTTACTTCCTTTGACCGATTTTTCTTTCCTTCTTCATCTTCCATTTTATTGCTTTGTTACTTGATGTGCTGATATGAGTTGCGGCAACTTGGACCTTTACGCAGTAATGCCTAGTCCTATGTTGATCTTGATAATGACCCAACTTCAAAATTATTGCACCAACAAAAGGTAGTTGATTAATTTATCTAGCTCATAGGGATTGGTATTACCATTACCATTATTATTATTATTATCAAAGCACAGCAACGAGAAACAATTTTACAGTACACATATTATATTCTGCTGCATTCACCCCAGTTACTTGGAGGCCATAATTGTTTTAAATTTAAAAAAAACGAAAAGTGGTTAATATACGTCAAGACTGAAAATCCTTAATATACTAGAACATGGTAGCAAAACTTGAAGTGTAAAAGTGGAATAAAAAAGCTAACTATTTGGAAGTTGTATATGAAGTTATGACGATAATTCTAACCCACTAGTAACAGCCCATAATCAGCTACTGAAAATTTAATGGAACACAATGTATTTCGCAAAATTCGTTCATCTTACTTAGTTCAAACTTGTAAACAGAACCCTTTTATATGAAGCATACAATTACTATCATTATTTATGTTATACAATTAAAAGCAGGGATTAAAAAAAGGGTACCATACTTAATTTATCAGTGAATGGACTACTTGAACATATTTGTAATTGCCATATTGGTGCACCCTCGGGTTTTAGTGACCTAATAAAAAGGGGGTGAAAAAGTGAAGCAAGAATTCACCATTCATACACAACAATCGACAGGAATATTAAATTATTTCAATGTTCCTATGCTATCTACAAGAATTTCACCGACATTTGATAAGTTTGTTTAACTCAACGCAATTAATCAATATAAATATTTCCTATATCTAGAGCTTGTATGTGTATGTGTATGCGTAGGTGGAGGGTAGAAATATTGAAATAATGTTCACTTAACTGTTCGATAAACTCGGTAAGTCGAGTGGATATATGACCAGACATAAAACTGTTAACCAACTATTATCAAACACCTGGCCGATAGTTGCTACCTTGACTTGGTGGTCGGGTTGGCATATGGCAATAACCCAATAAGCTATACCAGCTGGAACGCTTGTTCCCTCGAGATCTTACCATGCCAGAAATGTCTGGTGGATACTGGTGAGACAAAAGCAGTCACCTCTGTAGCGTAAATTACTACACTATGGTGGAGTGTTCGAGGGTGAAACCATACTGCTGCCAGCTGGATAGCAGTAGGGTTTTTCTCTTGGATGACTAGCAGTACCACACTGATGCTGCATTCCCAATAGGATGGAGGAGTTAGTTAACGTCAGCCCCCAAAATAGCACACTCCTCCCTGCAATGCAGTCTTCCAGTGCCAGTCGTATAGTTTTTCCCTATCCGGCGTTAGAACAACCAAACCTCAAAACAACATGCGAAAGGCCATCTGTGACAGGCCTAAAGCAGATATCACATAGGCTCCAAGATCATAAAAATATTTTTTTATCTCAGGTACGTTAAGAAGAAACAGCATTCCACGGTGTAAGCATTCAGGAAGTGTCAACCGCTCGCATGCTTCCAGTAATACACAAGACGGAATCAAATATTACCTATCCCTCTCGACTGTCTCTTCCTCCGCCTCCCGATACTAATACTGAGCCACTTACACCTTCCCCAACCCCTCACACTGCAACCAATGGCAACTATTAGAGCAGTCAAAACCTCATTACTAATCTTCTAAGACCGCATCATCGATTTCAAGTAGGGACTTTCGACGTCCGAACACTATGCCAAATCAAACAACAAGTATCAATCGCCAAAACTCCGAAATCTTGAGCCATGTATGCATGCTGCATCTCTGAGACACGTATATAGGACCGAAGTGCGGTTATTAAACTGATCTCACCTGGTCATGGTAGCAAATCTTAAAAATTTACCTCACGAATATCCGGAGATCGAATGGTTAGCTCTTGTGAACTCCGTGGTGTAGATACAGCACACAGCATTGAGCTGTCGGGTAGAAAAAGTGCTTCTCGAATGGATACCAGCCAACAGCCCTCTATGTGCCATTCGACTGAATGGATCTTAGAGGACTACGAAGGGTCGTAAGACTGGGCGACGCCTACTCGTAATCTCCACCCGCCCACTGTAGTTCGGATGATGCAAAGGATAAATAAATTCTATGAAAAGCTATCAATTTTGCAGCAGGAGGCTAGATGTTCAGATGTAGTCACAATGGCAAGTGACTTTAAAGCTGAAGTAGAGAAGCTCAGCTGAGCCAATAAGAAAGGAATCTTGGGATATTCACGTAATCCCATACCAACAAGCGGAAAACGGCGATTGTCTGTTGCAACTTTGCTCCGACAATCACTTGTTTCTGGCCAGCACCAGCTTTAGGCATGCAGAGAGACATAGTCCCATGTGGCGTCCATCAAAAAGACACCCGGCAACTATTTAGGGTTATAAAGCATACTGACGAGAAGAGAACGATGGCTTATGAAAAACATGACCAAAAAGCATCGCCCACTGATAACCTCCCAAGGTAGGCGGCTAGAGGTTTGGGCGAAATACTTCAAATATCAGTTCAACCGGTTTCAGTAACACTTCAGTCACACAGAATATCTCAATCTGAACTGAGATTCGACGCAGATGTCGGTCCTTCAGCCCTCTTTGAAGATAAGAAAGCGGTAGTGAACTTGGAACGATCCAAAGCAGTAGCACCTAACAGTTTGCCACCCGACCTTTCCAAGGATGGAGACAGGAAATTGGTAACTAAAGTGACTGAGGTACTAGGAAGTGATTAAGACTAACAGGTAGTCCAGTCAGATTAGTGTACTTAACCTATCATCACAGTCCATAAGAAGGGAGACATCTCCCGTGACAACCAAACGAGAATTAGTTGGATAAACATCATTTCGAAGAACGGACACCAAACCGAGGCTCCAGAACTGCAAACTTGAGAAAACCAGGCAGCTTTATAGCCCCAACGGGAGAAGAGTGCACACACCGAATCTTCACCCTTCGACAGATTCTAGGACACACGCATGATCACTAGCGACAGACACCTGACATAACTACCACCTGATGGCGACATTTGACTCTCTCAGCCACGAGGTGTTTTGATACTATATGAAAGTAAACGCCGTTCAGACAAAGTACGTAAAGCCAACCACAAAATGCGAATCGAAATCAACTCGCAGTGCCCTGCATTCCAGAGAAAAATCACGGGAACTGAGTACAACCCACGCAGTCCTCCACGAATCGCCAACCGCCTCAAGCACGCCATTCATTTGAAAATTTTCATCAGTTCTAGTAAGCTGGTTATGTGCAGGAAATACCGTAAGCAGTGTTAACTTTATTCTAAGAGTGCTAGGTGAGGACTATAAGTTCATAGTTCAAGCTGTAAATTTAACCAATTAAAGTGACATGAACATTTGTTGTGGATCCTAAACTACTGCCTATCTCATGGCGTCATATAAGTTTAACTAAGATTAGGTTGCGGATTGCGTGAAGGGTGACAAGACCAAAATGTGTAAACTGCCTCGTTGAGATCGTCGACATATTAGAAATCAGTGACGGAAGACGTTAGTCAAAATGAATCACTTTTGTGTCGACTTGACCATTGTTCACCGTCTTCAAAACATAAGACATCTTCACCAACTCTCATTTTACCAGTCTCTGTCGTCTTATATCCTATTCCTTTGTTGTAATACCATTGTATTTCTGATCATTCGTTCTCGTTGTAGTGTTATAAACTGTAGCATACTGAACTGATGCACCTTTTTCCATTAGTCTAATATGACCTATCCCTTACCTCAATTAATTGGATTCATTTACGACAGGCATGGCCAACTACTTAGTCTAAGAAGCTCAAATTGCTTACTGAACAGCACTATGGACATAACCTTAGGTACGCCCAACTTCACAAGGACTCACCTACTCACCTGAAATTCATCTGGTTGACTTAGAATATGTGGATGACATCCTCCTGCTAGTAGGTTAAGACACTGACAAAACGCAGGATCGTGTAAACGCATTGAGCAGAAATCTGAGTATGTTTGGCTAGCATGCATTTCACTGGCACCTGTCAAATGTAAGATGATCTTCCAGGATAAGAGTGAAGTGGTGGAGTGTGTCGACCACTTGAGTTGGTTGCTGACGAAATCTTAGCTCAGATACAGGAAGCTCGTTTGGCATTTGCCATCTTGGATCATCTGTGGAGCCGACTAGCGAGATATCCGACTACCCATCAAAGAACGAAACTACTGCGCAGCAGTACGTCCTGTCCTGTTATACGACTGCGAAGCATGACTGTGGAAAGTAGAAGACGTGAATCGATTACAGGGATTTGATCACAGGTGTCTTCGTAGCATTACACTGTTCGCGTTTGGAGTAAACACCATGTGAGCAATGATGAGGTCAGGCGAAGGGTAACTAGGCAAGACAGGCAAGTTAGTTGATGAGGTTGTGAACCTCGGTCAACTGAGATGGCTTGGACATGTACTGCTCATGTCGAGCCAACGTCCACCTCTACGTGCCATGTTGGGGCGGGTTGGGTTGGACAAGATTGGAAGGGGGTTCAATGTGACCAGACCAAGAGGTGGTACCAGTCCATCACGTCCGTGACTATGGGTCTGGGTTGTGTGGGGAAATGTAGACTGTTTGACTGAGATCCCCAAGACGAAAGGAATCAGTGGTTGAGTTCTCTCGGTGGTTGGAAATGTGTTCACTCCTTGACATCGTCTAAAGCTTGAGTATTTACACTAACCTCTACCTTCAAATTATTTATTCTCTCGCACAACTTCATCCATTTTAACATCAGTCTTTTTCTGTCCATCTGTTCTTTGTATGCTGCTGTGAAATGTGGTAACTTGAGTCGATGCACTTGTGTGCAAAATTCTACGTTCATTCTATATATATATATATATATATATATATATATATATATATATATATATATATATATATATATATATATATATATATATATATATATATATATATAACTCACTTCCACGAAGGTCTTTCAGTGATTGCATGACTCGGTACTATTGGCCAGATGGTGGCTAGATTAAAAGATCTACAATTGAAACAAAACAGAAAATCGATATCAACAAATGATGTAATCAATCATCCTGCGACTATTTATGACTCACAGAAATCATATATACTGGGCAGGAATACATTAATATTATAAAAGGTCTGCCTGAACATCAAATGTATTTTCTTTGACAAAAGTGGTTACAAACTCCGCCTGCGCACAACAGCTGGTTGTCCAGACCCTAGTTTACTAATCAGTGTCCGATAATGTGACACAACTGGAAATGAGATACCTATACCGATGAACTGAAGCTTCAAATACTTAGGCAAGACACTCTAAGTAACTAATAGCTGCGTCAGAAAGTAATGACGAATGCTCACAAGTTAGATGTTGGGAGTCAAAATCCAGCCACTTCTAGACCTAGGCTTTGTGCTTTTTGATACTAATCAACAAAGCGTATTTATAATGATGACGAGACTGCTGTCCCTTCCACGAATGGAACCTGCTTCATTCAGTGTTGAAGTTAGTGACTTAGCTACTAAGCTACTCAGGAAACGACTGAACCTCTGTTGAACTGTGTGTTATATGAAAGAATTGGTCAGTAGTTAACATTTTCATCCTTACCTAACTGGCACTTAATTGACTTACTTTAGCTATCAAATTGAAGACAACAGAGTGTATGTTGTACAACCATGTATTTCTTTGTCCTCCAGCTATCTAGTCTTTCTACCTTGACAACTTCAAGAAGAGGACTTACGTTTCCGTAAAAATATGCCAGGTTTACACATAATGACCACACTTATTAGTTCGATTTTCGCACCTACATGGGTTAGTTAAGGCCTGAGTAGCTTAGTGGTAAAGTATCTGGCTTGAGTATCGGTTGACACAAATTTAAACCAGCAGAGAGACTAGTTTCCACATGGTTACAGACAACGGATTGCAAATGAATGTCGACAAGCGCAAAGCCTAGATCCAAGGCGACCTACTGGTTGACTATCAACACCTATCATCAAATATAGCCCACCACAGTGTCGTATTACCTAGCTAGTGAACGCATTGCAAAACCTGATCAACAGAATTCGATAGATATTGATCACTAATGACTAGAAAATTACATACATTACCCACTAGTGACCAATTCGTGTATACAGGAAATTATCACATCAGGCGATCTATAAAACCTCATAGATTCGCGTGTAGTGACATATCGTATCACTCACTATGCAAGAGGAATAAGAACAACATCCAATCAGTAACGAGTGAATAAATAGTTCAGTTAAGAAAATTCTTTTTACGAATTGATTTTCATTAGTAGTGCAAATGCATGAAAATCACACTTTTAAAATATTTAAATCACTGCCTGTATGTGCGCAATTTGAATGCTATGATACATTTTGCTTTCCTTTGTGAATATTCATCGTAGGTTACTGGAACACACTTGTCTTCTGTAAACTAGTATGACGTTAGGCTTACTAAGATTGAATTAGAACATAACAAAATGGAATAATAGTGATAAGTAGAATGTGTTTTATAATTCCCTCAGTCTGTAATCATAGAACCGAAGAGAAAACTCTAATCGATGTTAAAGCTAGTAACAGTGGCCACACCGATAGATCAAAAACATAACATGGTACTGTTTTTGCTTGCACTATTCTGTAGTTGGTTGGATTGAAATGATTGGTCTTTATTGGCATATTTACTCGATTTTGAGTCTTAGTGGGAAAAACATCGTTAACTGGAAGGCAGGTACATCCACCTGACGAGTCCCAAATAAGACGAAACGAGCGTCCTGGATTCCACTGATAACCCCTATCCATGATTACTATAACATGATACTACCGCTGGCGTCGTTAGAACAGAGTTCAAATTCACTAGTCCAATGGTTGCAATTAGGCTGACAAAACGAATAAGCCACAGCTCTAAACTATACAACTCGAATTTCAACGCCCGATCTCTTCATTTACTTAAAGGATGTGAAATAGTACTTGAAGTAAATTATTCTCAAATGTTCAAATTATAATCTGCACATAAACAAGCGAACACTTTTACAGATTCATCATTCGACAAAACTGGTTACTTAACTTACAAATTCAATGAAGACTCCTGTAACAGGTCGAATGAAAATATAAATGAATTGACATGTGAGTATTTAGCTTCGTTTTTTCCCATTATTTGAGCAGTACGTATTTCACAGAAAAAGGAAAAAGGATGTTGACATATTTTAACTGTTATGAAAAATATTCTATGAAGCATTCACTATAAAATTAGGATGCCTGGTAAATAAAGCAATGGTAAAAGTAAATGATGTCAGGATTAAGTGCATGTGTGAAATTTAAGAATACCTATGTGAATATGAAATTTTTCAGCTGGGACTGGTTATACGGAGATTACTTCTAAACTTCAGCAGCTACTTCGATAGGTGAATAAATACAAAAGGTATTCCATAGTAAGACAATGATACCGCTCAGTTATACAGACAGAAAAAACATAAGATATTGCACACAAGTGCATCGACTCAAGTTACCACATTTCACAGCAGCATACAAAGAACAGATGGACAGAAAAAGACTGATGTTAAAATGGATGAAGTTGTGCGAGAGAATAAATAATTTGAAGGTAGAGGTTAGTGTAAATACTCAAGCTTTAGACGATGTCAAGGAGTGAACACATTTCCAACCACCGAGAGAACTCAACCACTGATTCCTTTCGTCTTGGGGATCTCAGTCAAACAGTCTACATTTCCCCACACAACCCAGACCCATAGTCACGGACGTGATGGACTGGTACCACCTCTTGGTCTGGTCACATTGAACCCCCTTCCAATCTTGTCCAACCCAACCCGCCCCCAACATGGCACGTAGAGGTGGACGTTGGCTCGACATTAGCAGTACATGTCCAAGCCATCTCAGTTGACCGAGGTTCACAACCTCATCAACTAACTTGCCTGTCTTGCCTAGTTACCCTTCGCCTGACCTCATCATTGCTCACATGGTGTTTACTCCAAACGCGAACAGTGTAATGCTACGAAGACACCTGTGATCAAATCCCTGTAATCGATTCACGTCTTCTACTTTCCACAGTCATGCTTCGCAGTCGTATAACAGGACAGGACGTACTGCTGCGCAGTAGTTTCGTTCTTTGATGGGTAGTCGGATATCTCGCTAGTCGGCTCCACAGATGATCCAAGATGGCAAATGCCAAACGAGCTTCCTGTATCTGAGCTAAGATTTCGTCAGCAACCAACTCAAGTGGTCGACACACTCCACCACTTCACTCTTATCCTGGAAGATCATCTTACATTTGACAGGTGCCAGTGAAATGCATGCTAGCCAAACATACTCAGATTTCTGCTCAATGCGTTTACACGATCCTGCGTTTTGTCAGTGTCTTAACCTACTAGCAGGAGGATGTCATCCACATATTCTAAGTCAACCAGATGAATTTCAGGTGAGTAGGTGAGTCCTTGTGAAGTTGGGCGTACCTAAGGTTATGTCCATAGTGCTGTTCAGTAAGCAATTTGAGCTTCTTAGACTAAGTAGTTGGCCATGCCTGTCGTAAATGAATCCAATTAATTGAGGTAAGGGATAGGTCATATTAGACTAATGGAAAAAGGTGCATCAGTTCAGTATGCTACAGTTTATAACACTACAACGAGAACGAATGATCAGAAATACAATGGTATTACAACAAAGGAATAGGATATAAGACGACAGAGACTGGTAAAATGAGAGTTGGTGAAGATGTCTTATGTTTTGAAGACGGTGAACAATGGTCAAGTCGACACAAAAGTGATTCATTTTGACTAACGTCTTCCGTCACTGATTTCTAATATGTCGACGATCTCAACGAGGCAGTTTACACATTTTGGTCTTGTCACCCTTCACGCAATCCGCAACCTAATCTTAGTTAAACTTATATGACGCCATGAGATAGGCAGTAGTTTAGGATCCACAACAAATGTTCATGTCACTTTAATTGGTTAAATTTACAGCTTGAACTATGAACTTATAGTCCTCACCTAGCACTCTTAGAATAAAGTTAACACTGCTTACGGTATTTCCTGCACATAACCAGCTTACTAGAACTGATGAAAATTCTCAAATAAATGATCAAACTGAAGGATTGCATCACTACTCCTTATGATTATACTGAAAGGAGGAAGGACGGGTCCTGGAAGAAAACTAATTTATGTGTTAATTTATTATTTTGTGATCTACACGTCAGTCAGGCAGTTAATGTCAGCCCAGAACCTAACATTACTGCCTAAAGATCAAAGTCATCACATCTCACATGAGCATATCACTATAGAATTTAATATCAAATTTGCGGATAGGGTCAACTATGGACGCATAATCTGGATAGTGAATTAAAGATATGATACTCGACAAGCTCCTCGGATAAGGCAAAGTAGAAAGAAGACACGACTGATCTTAAGAGAGTTAACTTTAATCGAAGAGTATGAATCTAGGAGCTAACATCTTGTGTGTACATACAAAGTGGGCGTCCCTGGGATAAACACACAAATTAGCATAATAACAATGGAAGAACAAACAACGAGAAAATAGCGATGGAGATGGAGAAAGATGATTTTAAATCTCTGAGAAGCAAATTTGTGTATTTCAAGCGAAAACATTCAACTTCAAGGATTTAACATTTCCATTAGTTGCCAAGGTCAAAGATAAGAGAAATAGGTAAAAGAGTCATCAAAAGTAGTCAAAGTCGTGAGGGGAGGTGAAGGGAGTGTAGTGCAATAAAGAAGTTCAATATGACGATTAACATGCAGATCAGTGGATGCATCTGGGACTGATTTTCAGTCATATCATCCACAGTCTCATATCAGAGATTTCGGTTGATACACAGTTATTTGTTTTCACTTAGGACACAAACACGGTACAACATGGGCACGAAGAGATGCGAAGTAAAATATAATGTAACTTTACGAAGACACAAGAAATGAAATAAAGAGTGAAAACTAAAATAGAACTGGGTTATTGAAAAAGTGGACCCAAAGATACATTCAAATAAGCATTCACTACCTTCGTCTTACGTTTCGATAATAGGAGAAACAAAAAAGCTACATCATGCTCCTTACCGGTTTCGATTCTGAGCCATTTCTGTTACTGCTCCAAGGCGCTGGGCTTCCACGCTATCTAGGGAAGCGTGATGCACCTACAGATGCATGCACATACGCAAAGCAGGACCTCCCGCACTAACACGTTGCATATTTAGACTTTCCTAGCAAGATTAACACCACGATGGCATCAAAGGTGACCCATATTGTCATGTGCCATTCTGGCTTTCGGTAAACGGTTGAAAATCTCACTACTTAGACCTCCACCAGCGCTGACACAACTACCCAGGTACATAAACTTTTCCCTAACATCCAACGGCTCACCAGTAAGGCCAGGTGTATGTAGATGCTCCGGTCGATATCGTACAAGCACTTTTCAATTCCATGGTATGAAGCACACCATACTTACGATGGATGATTTTTAACCAGCTGAGTGTGATTTGGGTAATCAGCATGTTGTTGCCTGGTAAAAAAAATATCGTCCACATGCTCGAAATCAGAAAGTCTTCCATTTATCAATAAATCAACATCACCATCGCACACTTCTTTCAAGGAGGATATCGATGAAGAAGTTAATGGAGAAATCTGGCAGCCCTGACTAACTCTAATATTAATTCGGAAGGATGGAAATACGTCGAAGCAAGCCTTCATTCTACCTCATGTTAAAGTATAAGGCTAGAAAACCTCTCAGGGAAACCAATCTCTGACAGAGAATTCCAGACTACAACCTTTCCCAACAAATCAAGAGCAGCACCGATATCTAGGAATAAAATGATTGTTGGTTTATAATACTCGTTAAGGTATTCAAGTATTTGGAGGAGGACTAACATGTGATCAGTGCATCTATAACCTTAACGAAACCTAGCACCCCACTCATGGATCACACTCTCACGCGCTTCGCCCAGACTTCGCAACATGATAGAAGTCAATAATTTAAAAGCTACCAATAGCAGACTGACACATGAATGATTACCGCATTCATTACATAGTTACTGTTTCCAAATAGTTACAACAATCTCATATTGCCGTATCTTTCGAAATATGTAGTCAGCTACCTGACTACTCTCATCTCCCCATAAAAAAAGCCAGGCGTAGGTTGTTTAGGACAAGTGCCTTATGGAGCTTTAGTACTTGAAGTCCATTCTGAACACTTGCTTTGATCAGTTAGTCGATGCGACCGATAACGGAGCATAAAATATTGAGGTAGATTTTACTAAAGAAGCGCCTTCAAACTACTCTCAGATTCAGCTCCTGCTTGAATTTAAAAGCAAAGGAATTGGGCACGCACGCTATTATACTCGTTGACTACCGGAATACACCGATGAGAATCATGAAGCTGCCAGTAACTCGTGAGAACATCGAGTTTACTAAAGATACGTTCTTTAAACACATATGCAACTCTGTTTGTTGTTTTCGAGCAGCCAATGTTCATCTATGATGTCCGAAGGTTCAGCAAATATCACCGACATCAAAATCCGACCAAACGTTACTGCATAAAAGTCTACGTTGCCAGAACTCATATCAGCAAAGAAAACTTAACAAAAGACAGTTCAGCGAAGAAAATGTTTTTCCGTGTTCTAATAATCACCATCATCTATCAACACAGGACTAGGCATTACTGCCTAACGGTCAGAAATGCCACACCTCATATCACTACATCAAGTAAGAAGACAGCGAGGTGAAAGATGAAGGAAAGAAAATTCAGCCAAGAGAAATATAAAGTATGAGAAGAGAGAAAGGAATAATGAGAAAATAATGAGATTCACCACAGCGTCGTTAAGATGACATCGGTTTTCAGGCATGCCATCAACTACAGTCTCCAACCACTGGTTTCTCTTGTCCCGTGGACCCCAACCACCTAGTCTGCATCGCCCTACATGGCTCAAACCAACAGTCAGAGACTTCATACATTGGTGCCATGTTTTAGTCTGGCCACCTCGAACCTTTTCCCAGCCTCAACCTACTTCGACCAACATTGTGTGACAAGGATACGTAATATTTGCCCTAACCATCTCGGTCGATGAAGGTTCATAATCTCCTCAACTGATTTACATCGGCTTCCTAAAATTCTATAAAACTGAC